AAGAAAAAAAACATCACAGTTAACTTAGCTAATCTGCGTAAGATATGAAGTCACTGGATTCTTCTTTTTCGTTTCAAAACCAGGTATTTACCAACCAACTTTTAGGTATTGAAATTAGGCTTTTCATCAAATCGAGTTTGGTGAACTAAGTTATCTTATTAATTTAGTTTAGCATTAGAATTGATTTTTTCATTATTCGCATCTAAATTGATATATATATATATATATATATATATATATATATATATTTTGTCTTCTTATTTAAACCATAAAATAGGATTGTAAATAAATTAGATCTTGACCAGTTATAATTAAATATATACGATAAACGTTTTTTTATCCGAGTTTGATTGTAATATAAATCTGTTTAGTAAATATATGAAATTTGAATCTTTTTTGATGTGATTTGATAATAATTCAATCCAAAATTAAAAAAAAATATACCATTAAAAATTTAAATATGAAACTATAATGAAATTTCAAGTTTATTTATTATAAAGTTCAAATTACGTATATCTAGTGAAAATTGTATTTTTGAGAAATCACTGATAAATTTCTTGTTATTTTTCTTAATTCAATTCCATAAAAAAAAAATTATGAACTGATTTATATGCCTTTTCAAGAGTTTGTGCTATTATATTTGTCATCATTCTATTTTTTGTTGTCACTCGGACAAAAAATAAATATTTTTTATTTTTTATTTTTTTAGTTTTATAGTATTTAATATTTAGTTCAAGACAAACTTTTATCAAAATTATTTGTTTTTGTGCTTTTAAATGGTGTGACATTTTGAATTTTTTACGAAATTGATAAATGAAATATTATCTTAATATGTTTTATTACATATGCGAGTGATTGAAATATGTTTTATATTAAAAAAATATATTAAATATAACAAGTATCAATTGTCTACGAAAATCAAACGATAAATCCGATGAAGTTCCTCATTCATTAAGATTCGGATTCATATTTTCAAAATCCAATTTGAATGTATAAGATTCAATTTGACTCGTTTTATTGAACAAATCAGATCTACTATAATTCGATTCGAATACAATCCATTGACAATCCTACTTTCAAATATTTGTTAGCGAGCCAACATATCTCATTGGTTTAGTTGATTTTTCTATGATGGGATATCATTGGAATTATTTATTTCATTTAATTCCTACGGTGGATCGGTGGATAGATTTTTATATATTTAAACTTCATTTTCTAAGTAGATTTTATAAGATATTCAAATCCAAATCTTAGGTTAACAAAAAAATACTTGTTCCTCGCATCTTCCCCTTGACCTCAACCCTATATAATATTTTTTAATAACTTAGGAATTGATCATTTTTTAACCATGCGCTGGTGGGTATGGATTGGTTTTAAAATAAGAGATTCCAAACCCTCCATGCTTTTAGAATCAGAGAAATAGGCATAAGCCTTGTGGTTGCCTCAAGGAGGCGTGAGAAGTAATATATAATATAATGCATGGAACCAATAGACTTATCACCAAAATGAATATCTGGATGAAATATTTGAATTAAAGTAAACATATCATGAGTAAACAACTCAATTTGTCTTTATACAATATCAAGAGTCTTCGATTTATCTCTATATTTATACTTGAATTTATTATGTATTTGGATAATGTTTACATATTTAATCTATTATTTCGATCAATTTTTTCGATCATGAATAAATTTTTTAATTGAAATGTCAAAAAAAAAAACTGCTTAAGTCATATGATTTGTATGTTCTATTTTGTTAAGTCTTTAAAATTTTATTTATTTATTATATTTTAATTATGGGCATTTTGGTTAAAAAAATTCTCATTATAAAAAAAAATTGATCAAAATAATAGATTTGAGACTTAAACAATATTAAAAAATATAATAAATGCAGCTAGAAACATATGAATAAATAAAAAAAAATTAAACTACTACATAAAAACAGATTAAACTATTTACTCATATATTTTTAGAAAAGCTGAAAATTTTTTATTTCAAAATTTTGCTCTAAGCATTATCTAATAATAATAATAATTATTATTATTAGCATAAAATTGATATAATTCCAACGTACGATGCAGCAAGTAACTTGAGTGCAAACAAAAGAAAAGAAAATTTAAAACAACACAATAGCTCTTCACACTTTGCTCAAACAATTGACAAGAAATGTTAAGGCAAACCAACAAAAAAAAAAAATTACCTTCGTTTCTTTCTTTTGACCATGACCTGGCTTCGCCGCTACACCACCAAATGTCTCTTTTATTGGAAAAAATTGCTAGTATCTATCTAGTCAATTAACAAACCGAAGCAACCATATGTCACTGAAAATGGATAATGGATATGCACTAAGGGGAAGGAACGAACAAGAAACGATGGGTGCTGACAGTTTTCTTGGTCATACACATTTATACCGTGTGCTGCAATTTTGAAAGGGCAGCTTTTTTTTTCCAAATGTAGATTCCATATATATGCCACATATAGAGGTTGCGGTCCACTTCATCATTAGGTTTCATGAGATTACCATTAGTAGTTAGAAAGATAGAAAAGAAAATTCTATCATCATGATGGATTAAATTGATAATTATTATTTTTAAATAATTTTTTTAACACACATATCCAAGATTCATAATAAAATTAATTTTTTAAGATTTGAATCCATGATCTCTTAAAAGAGATCGCTAACATTAGTAGTTAGTGAGATAGAAAAGAAAGTCGTATTATCATGAAGGATTAAATTAATCATTATTTTTTAAATAATTTTTTTAATACACATGTTCGGGACTTCTAATAGAACTAGTCTATTAAGATTTAAATTCGTGACCTCTTATAAGAAATTACTACCACTAGGTTACAAATTCTTTGATAAATTGATTATTATTTTAAAGATAAAAAATTACTCTAATATCTTTTTGTAATAGATTTTCTTTTAAACTGGAATACTCCAAAATATGCCCTACATAGACCTTGCGTCCACCTCGGTTATTAGGCTTTATGAGATTAATGTTAGTAGTTAGTGATGTAGAAAAAAATCATATTGCTGTAACAAATTAAATTGATCATTACTATAAAAGTTAAGGATTATTCTGACATCTTTTTATAATATATATTTTTTAAATTCTAATACTACAAAATAAAGATTTGAAATTGTGATTTTTTGTAAGTGTAAAAATCTTTTAATTATTGCCATAATTTTAATCTTAATCCGTTTTTTTTGAAATAATGTAGAGTTGGTAATGACTTGGCCGTGGCCTCAATTATGCAAGTGAATTGATTTTATGGCCGTAACTGACGGGGGCAGAAGGCACTAACTGTTGGCCGCATAAAAACTACCCGCCGGCAACAAATCACGTATACAATTGGCCGCGTATGGGATTATTAATTTTATTTCTTTTTTGGGGTTTTGTTCATTTTCGTCATTGATAGCGTCACATTACGTGGTTAACTGCCCACTATTTGACAATATTTTCATCTTAACACTTGCAAAATTCACCTGATTAAAGTCTCACGCTGTCTTAATAATCAAAAAGCTTCTAGTTTAATGGTACTATTTTAACTTTAAAAATTCAAAATAATAATACCAATAGTACATGCATGAATCTTGATTAAATTATACAATATTTCTATTATTTTTTTTTAAATGTGGTTTGTTTTGAGTCATAATTATTTTTTTATTTTCACCTATTTTATTTGAAAAAAATTATGTTTTATCGACAAAAGTATTTATATTTTTACAAAATATTTTAATTTATTTATATTGAATTTAAGTTATCTACTTAATTGTAATTCAAATCAAACAACATAATAATTAATTATTAAATGATCAACTAATTTTACTTACAACACAATAAATTGAGTTAGGTGGACATATTTTTATCATTTTTGTAGGTTTTTTTTTCTGCTTCTGTTTTCCTCGTCACAGTAGACTCATTGAATAAGTATTGTTAGTTATTTAACCAATATTAAAAGTCACAATTAAGGCTAAATCTATACAAGTCATTCTTTTTAATTACAATAATTATTTTATGCAAAAACAATTTAGAAAAAAATAATTTAAAGATAAAATTTTAAAAACAATCAACCTATAAAAGGAAAAAAATCTAATTTCAGAAGAATTTTGTATGAAAAATTTATTTGTATAAAATCACTCTTGAAAAAATTACTAAAAAGTTACAGATAACCCTGGTATCCATTTTCTAAATAAATCCATTAAGAAACCATTCCTTACCAAATTAAAAACCACCGTCTTAATTAAACCTGACATGGTTCGGCTCCGAACCTAAAACAAACAGCAGCCTCTCTTGCCTCCTATGGAAAGGCTGTGTGTCTATCCCAATCCCTCCCTCCTGGGACCCACCATGAGCGGCTGTCGCGTGCCGCATAGGGACACTGCACACGTGTCATCTCCTCTGTCAAACTCACTTCAGCAATAGTGAGGTTAAATTTGGCACCAACGTGGACCCCACCACACCTTTACCCTCAATATTTTTTTCTCTCTCCGTTTTCTCAGTTTCTCTTCTATAAATTTGACTCACCGGTTCTGATTAGAGACCTACTCGCATCCAATCTTCTTTCGATATAAGAGCAGTCCCCTTCCCATCCACCGTCGCTGCTGCCTCTTTCTCTGCTCTTATTCTTTTGGTTTTGTGTGTTTTCTTCATCTTCGTTTGTATTATTTCTTTGTTTTCTTCGTGTTCTTCAATGCTGGATCTCGAAAATTCCGTCTGCATGTCATAATCGCTGAAGAAATCTCTATAGATATATATTCTCTTCTATTTTGATTCGGTGGTTAGATCTGTAACATTTTTCTGGATCTGAAATCGGCTTTGGTTGATTTTTATTCGAATTCTAATAGAAATATAAGATATTTGTTATATAACAAACAACTATAAAAACTGATGATCCTTATCCAACTCTAATCCTTATCCCTTCCAATCGTAAATATCGGGCGTTTTCCAAACAATAAAAACGTACTCTCAGTTTTTTCTTTTGTGAACAATAGTAATGTCGGCTGCGGCGAGCTCTAGTGCTCTCCTTCAACCAAAATATGTCAGAACTCCATTTTCTTCGCTTAACAAATCACCTTCACTCAATGTTGCTACAGTGGCATCTGCTTCTCGCCGGAGTGCGAGGGCAACACGATGCGCTTCGGCGAGGAAATCGGCGGTTGTTGAGAGAAAATCGTTTTTAGGAAGTAAAGTGAGGGGGTCTGCAGGATCGGAGAGATTGCATTTTTGGCGGTCGGATGGACCGGGCAGAGAGCCGAAACTCCGAGTTGTGGTCCGGTCTGCATTGTCCGGTGTGCCGGAGAAGCCTCTCGGGTTGTATGACCCGTCGTTTGATAAGGATTCCTGTGGGGTTGGGTTTGTGGCTGAATTATCAGGGGACAGCAGTCGCAAAACGGTATGATATTATAGAAAAGTTTCTGTTTTTTAGATTTTTATTTAGAAAATTGTGTTTTAATGGTGTTTTTGAAGGTGAATGATGCTTTGGAGATGTTGGTGAGGATGACACATAGAGGGGCTTGTGGCTGCGAGACGAATACTGGTGATGGAGCTGGGGTTCTTGTGGCTCTTCCTCATGATTTCTATAAGGAGGTGTGTTTTGTTTCCTTTCTTGCTTTTCCGTTTTTATTAAATTTTTTGTTATGGTGAAAATGACTTTTCCTTTTGATTTATTTAATGGACACAGTTTCCTTTCTGAAAATTTTGTTTTACTTTCCTCTATGTTTTCCGTTTATTAAAAAAAAACCGATATTTCTTATGAAAACATATCTGTTGCTTGATTGATTTAGGCCACGGTTACTCGGGAATTTAATGAATAAATCGAGTACAATTATGAAAACCCGTACTTTTGGTTACAATTTGTTGATTTTTTAAAAACTAGTTGTAGCCAATATATAAACTAAATCATGGTGCTGATTCTACTTAAATTTGGTTTATTCAGGTGGCTAAGGATATTGGGTTCGAACTGCCACCCGCAGGGGAATATGCAGTCGGCATGTTCTTTTTGCCCACATCTGATAACCGTAGGGAAGAAAGCAAGAACGTATTCACTAAGGTAATTTTGAGCCAGTTTTGTCAAAATTGATTCGAGTTGAATTTTCATTGTTTTTTTTTTTTTTGACATTGTTCCTTAATGTTTTTATTTTTGATGGTGATAAAGGTTGCAGAGTCTCTTGGGCATACGGTACTTGGATGGCGACAAGTACCAACAGATAACTCTGGATTGGGCAATTCTGCTTTGCAGACAGAGCCCGTCATTGAGCAAGTGTTCCTTACAGCTACTCCTAGGTCGAAGGCTGATTTTGAGCAGCAGGTAGCTTTTTATCTGAATTTTTGTTCAATAGTATGTAGAAAAAGAAGTAATTAGCTTCACAAAATAATTGTAGCTGTCCATGTTTGAGGTAGAAATGGGGGAGATGAAGAGGACGAAGGGATTTGTTTCAGGTTCTGAACAATGCAAGTGAGCGTTTTTAAATGGTCCGGTTTCACTGCTATGTTGTTGATGTTTGTTTGCACTGTTTTTGTAGATGTACATATTAAGGAGGGTGTCAATGGTAGCAATTAGAGCTGCACTAAACCTTCAATATGGTGGTGTTAAGGACTTCTATATCTGTTCCCTTTCCTCAAGGTTTGTATGCTATGAGCTATTTTATACGGGCCTGTCTAATGCTTCTCTTGGCAGATTTTTTAATACCTTTGATTGGATTCTGCAGGACCGTTGTTTATAAAGGTCAGTTGAAGCCCGAACAGTTGAAGGGTTACTATTATGCGGATCTTGGCAATGAAAGGTTTACGAGCTACATGGCCCTGGTAAATATTTTATCCATTCGCTTTTCTCCTGTTACACTAACACATACTTCAACAAACAGCATCGGAACCACCGGTAACCGAAGATATGCAAGGTTGGGGAATGACTTCTGAGGCATCGAAGTTGAATGATCTCTTAAGTTCTTCCACTCCCTTGATTACTATTTGAATTTGGATGCTGGATTGGATGCCATGGGTGAGTTGGTAAGAAACCTCACTGTTGAAAGTAAGAAACTTACTGCAGTGTTCTCTATGATCACTTGTTTGAGGGGGAAAACTTCCAGTTGGTGGTTGTAAGGAAATTTTGTTTGGTCAAGGTAGCTTAGGGTTTGTGTGATTCTTGTATAGGTTCTGCAACAAAAAGTTTATTGAAGTGCCCTGAACAAAAATTCCATGCCTGTGGTTTTCAGACCAGCTTTGCTTTTCATGTATTGAGTGACTGAAATCATAAAATAACATACTTGGTTCCTGTGGTTTGGTTCAGGTACATTCGCGGTTTTCAACAAATACATTTCCTAGCTGGGATCGTGCACAACCCATGCGTGTCTTGGGCCACAATGGGGAAATCAACACTCTCAGAGGCAATGTAAACTGGTAAGTACCCAGTTAACTGAGAGACGGTTTGTCCTTGCTTAGGTTCGTTGGTCTACAGGTGCATAGTAATATGCTCTTTTATCTAAAAGGAATAATTATTATGGGTTTTTCTTTGCATGGAAAAAACATTGACTTCCAACATTGCTTTTCAGGATGAAGGCTCGTGAGGGCTTATTAAAGTGCAAGGAGCTTGGTCTTTCAAAGAATGAGATGAAGAAGCTTCTTCCTATTGTAGATGCTAGTTCTTCTGACTCAGGTGCATTTTTTTTTGTTTTGAATTTATGGAGCTTTAAATCAATATAAGTAGTGTATTTTTAGGTGCATCTTTGATATCATATTATATTGTTGTCTTCAATTTTTTTATTTCTTTTAACTGTAGGGGCTTTTGATGGTGTGCTTGAGCTTCTAATTCGAGCTGGGAGAAGTCTCCCTGAAGCTGTCATGATGATGATTCCTGAAGCCTGGCAAAATGATACGAACATGGATCCTCAAAGGAGGGCACTGTATGAATACTTCTCAGCTCTTATGGAACCATGGGACGGGCCTGCACTTATCTCATGTAATTGTTTTGAACAATTTATGGACTCTCTTCAAATGCTGTCATGTGCAATCCTTGATTTGTTGCTTTGTGCTCATTTTCTTTTAAATTTTATTTTCAGTTACTGATGGCCACTACTTAGGAGCTACTCTGGATCGCAATGGGCTACGTCCAGGTAGATTTTATGTCACACGAAGTGGGCGAGTTATCATGGCCAGTGAAGTTGGTGTTGTGGATATTCCTCCTGAAGATGTTCTTAGGAAAGGAAGACTTAACCCCGGAATGATGCTTCTGGTGGATTTTGAGAAGCATATTGTTGTAGATGATGAAGCCTTGAAGCAACAATACTCCCTAGCAAGGCCCTATGGGGAGTGGCTGAAGAGGCAAAAGATTGAACTCAGTGATATAGTTGACTCAGTTCAAGAATCTGAGAGAGTTGCTCCAGCCATTTCTGGGGTTGTTCCTGTATGTGTTATACAAACTTCCAATAAGTACATTTTTCCCACTGTGTGTGTCCTCATGCGCTCTTGTGCAAGTCTCATTGTTGTTTGATTTTTTGTGACTTCAGGCATCTGATGATGACCAAAGCATGGAGAATATGGGCATTCATGGTTTGTTGGCACCATTAAAAGCCTTTGGGTATGTGAATCTTATGTACTGCATCAACTTTCTTGTATTTTGGAAGCTGATGCTTTTACAAAAGTATTTTATACTGATTTTGTATTAATCTCTTGCAGCTATACTGTTGAAGCCTTGGAGATGCTGATGCTTCCCATGGCGAAGGATGGTACAGAGGCTCTTGGTTCGATGGGAAATGATGCTCCCTTGGCTGTCATGTCTAACAGGGAAAAAGTCCCTTTTGAGTACTTCAAGCAAATGTTTGCTCAAGTGACGAACCCCCCAATTGATCCTATCAGAGAGAAGATTGTCACTTCCATGGAATGCATGATCGGGCCAGAAGGTGATTTGACAGAAACAACTGAAGAACAATGCCACCGTCTCTCTCTGAAAGGCCCACTTTTATCAATTGAGCAAATGGAAGCAATCAAAAAAATGAACTATAGAGGTTGGCGAAGCAAAGTTCTCGACATAACTTATTCAAAAGAACGGGGGAGGAAGGGATTGGAGGAGACTTTAGATACGATCTGTGCTGAAGCTCATGAGGCAATCAGGGAAGGTTATACCGTGTTGGTTCTTTCTGACAGAGGTATGTCATCTATTCTTCAATTTACAGTTAGCAAAGCTCTTGTAAACTCATGCAGTTTGAAGTTTACTACAGCAAAGTGATCTACGTGGGTAGTGAATTAACTTCTTTGGGTTTTGCTTTCATGTTCAGCCTTCTCATCAAAGCGTGTTGCTGTAAGCTCCCTCTTGGCTGTTGGTGCTGTCCATCAATACCTTGTAAAAAAGCTCGAGCGTACTCAAGCTGGGTTGATAGTTGAATCAGCTGAACCACGTGAAGTGCACCATTTCTGTACATTGGTTGGTTTTGGTGCAGATGCCATCTGCCCATACTTAGCTGTAGATGCCATCTGGAGATTACAGGTTGATGGTAAGATCCCACCAAAATCCACTGGCGAGTTCTACTCAAAGGATGAGCTAGTCAGGAAGTATTTCAAGGCAAGCAACTATGGCATGATGAAGGTGCTTGCCAAAATGGGGATTTCAACTTTGGCCTCCTACAAGGGTGCTCAGATTTTTGAAGGCCTGGGCCTTTCATCAGAAGTGATTGACAAGTGCTTTGCTGGAACCCCAAGCAGGGTGGAAGGAGCAACATTTGAGATGCTTGCCCGTGATTCACTTCATTTGCATGAGTTGGCATTTCCCTCCCGTGTTCTCCCTCCTGGAAGTGCAGAAGCTGTAGCACTGCCCAATCCTGGGGATTATCATTGGAGAAAAGGTGGTGAGGTTCACCTTAATGATCCTCTTGCTATTGCAAAGCTTCAAGAAGCTGCCAGAGGTAATAGTGTGGCTGCCTATAAGGAGTATTCCAAGCGTGTTCAGGAGTTAAACAAAGCTTGTAATTTGCGTGGGCTTTTGAAGTTCAAAGAGTCGGATGTGAAAGTTTCTTTGGATGAAGTAGAGCCAGCCAGTGAGATAGTTAAACGTTTCTGTACTGGGGCCATGAGTTATGGATCAATATCATTGGAGGCACACACCACACTAGCTCAGGCTATGAATAAAATTGGAGGAAAATCAAATACAGGTATGTTCTGATGTAGTTTTTTATGACACTTGTTTGTCTCTTTGGAGTGGTTGTGAGCCAGTCATAAATTTTTTGTGTCTAACTTTCCATTTTGCCAAAAGCACTTATCAACTTGGGAGAGAGGAAAAAGCTCTCAGTTTTCACAACAACATTTTTTTTTTTTGTTGGGTTAATGACTCAATCTATCTTTATATAATTAGGTAATTCTCCAATCTGTCCTTATATCCCTAATTGAGTTAATGTTATCCTTGAATGTACATCAATTTCTAATCTATCTTTTCAGGCCAAATTGCTTTCTGTATGTCTGGTTTCCGAGGGTATTTCAGAAATAAAAAAGAGCAAATCACGCAACTAATTCCTGTGGTTTAGCATGAAAATCTTACTAGAAGGATAGATTAAAAACTTTTAACATATATTCGAAGATAAAATTTGCTCAATTAAGGATATAAGGACAAATTTGAGAATTACCCTACTATATGAGGATAGACGGAGGCATTAACCTTTTTTTAGTAGTAATAATTATTTGGTGTTTAGAAAGTTGTAAAAAAACTTAATATGGTTCTCAACTCTTTCTATTTTTGGGTCTCACTTCATTTGCTTCATATCTGTGTTGTAATCTGTTTGTTTGTTTGTTTGTTTTTTTTTTCATTTTTCTTCTGCTGAAGGTGAGGGAGGTGAACAACCATCTCGTATGGAGCCTCTTCTCGATGGTTCAATGAATCCAAAAAGGAGTGCTATTAAGCAGGTTGCAAGTGGGAGATTTGGAGTTTCAAGTTACTATCTTACAAATGCTGATGAACTGCAGATTAAGATGGCTCAGGTATTTGTCAAAATAAAACATGTCAAAACCAAAGCTTTCTGTCAATGTGTCATGGTTTTGCTGTTTAGCCCCTGTGTGTTTCCTGTTTAGCCCATGCATTCCTTTTGGAACAAACGTTCCTATTGTTTATGTATTTATGTTCATGGCAGATGATGCTGTGTCTGCAAAGCACCCCTGGGTGCATTGCATCTTTTACTGATACCTTTGGCATTTGGTGAGGTTAAATATGAACTGAATTTTTTTATATTGTCAATTCATTTTAGACTGATTATTGTATGCCTTGGATCACAGGGTGCCAAGCCTGGTGAAGGAGGTGAGCTTCCTGGCCACAAGGTCATAGGAGACATTGCAGTTACCAGAAATTCTACTGCAGGGGTGGGTCTTATTAGTCCTCCTCCCCATCATGATATCTATTCAATTGAAGACCTTGCCCAATTAATTCATGACCTTAAGGTATGTGCGTTTGCTGCTTCATGTGTTATGTCCTTGCTCAATATGTCCACCCAGTTGGTCACTCCTGTTGGTACCTTTGGTTTTTATTTTTTATTTTCCACAGAATTCCAATCCAGCAGCTAGAATAAGTGTCAAGCTGGTATCCGAAGCTGGTGTGGGAGTAATTGCCAGTGGGGTGGTGAAGGGACATGCTGACCATGTTTTGATCTCGGGCCACGATGGAGGTACAGGTGCTTCTCGATGGACTGGCATAAAAAATGCTGGGCTCCCATGGGAACTTGGTTTGGCCGAGACCCACCAGACACTTGTTGCCAATGACCTTCGTGGCCGAACAGTTCTTCAGACTGATGGGCAACTAAAAACTGGACGAGATGTGGCCATTGCAGCTCTTCTTGGTGCAGAAGAGTTTGGCTTCAGCACTGCACCCCTTATAACTCTTGGCTGCATCATGATGCGAAAGTGCCATAAGAACACCTGCCCTGTAGGCATTGCCACTCAAGATCCAGTGCTGAGGGAAAAGTTTGCTGGAGAACCTGAACATGTCATTAACTTCTTCTTTATGCTAGCAGAGGAGCTCAGGGAGATCATGGCTCAACTCGGTTTCCGAACGATGAATGAGATGGTTGGTCGTTCGGACATGCTTGAAGTTGATAAAGAAGTTGTTAAGAGTAATGAGAAGCTGGAAAATATTGATCTCTCTTTGTTACTTAGACCTGCTGCTGACATTCGACCTGAAGCTGCCCAGTATTGTGTCCAAAAGCAGGATCACGGATTGGACATGGCATTGGATCAAAAACTCATCAAACTCTCTGAGGCTGCATTGGAAAAAGGTCTTCCTGTATACATGGAAACACCTATCTGCAATGTAAACCGTGCTGTTGGAACAATGCTTAGCCATGAAGTTACTAAGCGTTACCACTTGGCAGGGCTTCCTGCAGATACTATTCATATCAAACTCTTAGGAAGTGCAGGGCAGAGTCTAGGAGCTTTCCTTTGTGCTGGCATTATGCTGGAGCTGGAAGGTGATGGCAATGACTATGTGGGTAAAGGGTTATCAGGGGGAAAGATAGTAGTTTATCCTCCAAAAGGAAGCCTGTTCGATCCAAAAGAAAACATTGTAATTGGTAATGTAGCTCTTTATGGAGCCACAAATGGTGAAGCATATTTCAATGGGATGGCAGCAGAAAGATTCTGTGTCCGTAATTCTGGGGCAAGGGCTGTTGTAGAAGGTGTTGGTGACCATGGTTGTGAGTACATGACAGGTGGGACTGTAGTCGTGCTTGGGAAAACTGGAAGGAACTTTGCTGCGGGTATGAGTGGTGGCATTGCATATGTTCTTGATTTGGATGGGAAATTCAAATCTCGATGTAATCTTGAACTCATAGATCTTGATAAAGTTGAGGAAGAGGAGGACATTATGACTCTCAGAATGATGATACAGCAACATCAGCGCCACACAAACAGCCAGCTAGCCCGACAAGTGCTTGCTGATTTTGATAATCTTCTGCCAAAATTCATTAAGGTTTTCCCCAGGGATTACAAACGTATTCTTGCAAATATGAAAGAGGAAGCTGCGTCGAAAGAGGCTGCTGAGCTTGCTGCTAAAGAAGCTGAGGAGCAAGATGAAGCAGAGTTGATGGAGAAAGATGCTTTTGAGGAGCTTAAGAAGCTAGCTACTCCATCTTTGAATGGGAAACACAATCAGGTAAATTCTTTGATTGTCTTTATTTTTTGTTGAATTCTTGTATAATGCTTTTAACCTTGAATAGAGGAAATGAAGGTTCATGCTTTATTATGGAGCATGTGCAGTTTTATGATTTGTGCAAGTTCTAATACGTGATTTTGGAACTCACAGAAGGTAAAAGAAGATGAACCACTGAAAAGGCCTACCAGTGTTGATGATGCTGTGAAGTATCGAGGGTTCATTAAATATGATCGTGAAGGTGTTCAATACAGAGATCCTAATGTTCGAATGAATGACTGGAATGAAGTTATGGAGGAATCAAAACCTGGCCCTCTTTTGAAGACCCAGTCAGCCCGTTGCATGGACTGTGGCACTCCTTTCTGCCATCAGGTAAGAGTTATTCGACCTGATATCCTGCTTATGTGCCAGGTGTTGATTTTACACTATTTCAAATTGAATTGTTATGCCTTAAATCTTCTTGATGAAATAATACAGGAGAACTCAGGATGTCCTCTTGGAAACAAAATTCCTGAATTTAATGAGTTAGTGCACCAAAATAGGTGGCGTGAAGCGTTAGATAGGCTCCTTGAGACAAATAACTTCCCAGAGTTCACTGGCAGAGTGTGTCCTGCACCTTGTGAAGGTTCATGTGTTCTTGGCATAATTGATGATCCTGTATCTATAAAAAACATCGAATGTTCAATTATCGACAAGGCCTTTGAGGAGGGTTGGATGGTGCCGCGGCCTCCCCTCACGAGAACTGGGTATGCAACACCCCCGCCCCCCCCCCCTCTTTTTTATATATACCTTGGCATTATTAGTAGAAGTCTTTTTTCTCTTAGATATTGCATTTTAGAGCTGATTGCTATTTCTTCTATGCGACTGGTGTCTTATTAAATGTTACCTTGATTGAAATGGTCATATCCTATTGGATTATACAATTGAAATATTTTTCATTCTCTTTTGTATCAAAATATGCTATATGTTACATGAATGAAGAATGTAATGTCATGTACTTTTGCTTGCAGGAAACGAGTGGCGATTGTTGGAAGTGGGCCATCTGGTTTGGCTGCTGCTGATCAACTAAACAAAATGGGTCATTCAGTGACTGTGTATGAGCGTGCTGACCGAATTGGAGGACTAATGATGTATGGAGTTCCCAACATGAAAACTGACAAAGTGGATGTAGTTCAACGACGTGTTAACCTTATGGCTGAGGAAGGCATCAATTTTGTGGTAAACGCTAATGTTGGAATTGATCCTTTGTACTCTATTGATCGACTTCGCGATGAGAACAATGTGATTCTTTTGGCTGTTGGAGCCACAAAACCAAGGTAAGTCACAAGCAGAAAGCAAATATTAGGCATCAATGTTGGATTCTGGATCCTTCTTGTTAACAAATGGTATTGTTTTGCTTGTGAATTTTTGATCGTGCAGGACTTTGATTTTTATTGTTAGGAACATTCTTGCCTTCCCAATAGAACTAACACTTTTCATGAAGTGTTAGAGGATCGTTAAATTTAATAATTTTCTCTCTTGGTGCAGGGACCTTCCGGTGCCTGGTCGGGAGTTGTCAGGTGTTCATTTTGCTATGGAGTTTCTTCACTCAAATACCAAAAGTTTGCTTGACACCAATCTACAGGATGGTAACTACATATCTGCGAAGGGCAAGAAAGTAGTGGTCATAGGCGGAGGTGACACTGGTACAGATTGCATCGGTACATCTATTCGCCATGGGTGTAGTAGCATTGTCAATTTAGAGCTTCTACCTGTGCCACCGCGAACTAGAGCTCCGAGCAACCCTTGGCCTCAAGTATGACCTTTATTCTTTTGCTGCCTGTTGGCTTTGAACTACTGTTCTTTAGTTTTTTCAATTATTATATATTTTTTGGTGGATTGTGATTATATTATGCTCGATACTTATTATTTGTACCATTTATTGGTTTATCTTATATACATATATATATATTGATCTTCTTTCATAATTTCATGAACTTGAATAAAAACATGTTCTAAATGCATGCTGGCTGTGGTGCTGTGCCCAAGTATAAGATGCAATCATGTTCTAAGTTTTTTTTTTTTTTTTTTGGCAGTGGCCTAGAGTATTCCGTGTAGACTACGGGCACCAGGAAGCTGCTACCAAGTTTGGTAAGGACCCAAGGTCTTATGAGGTGCTGACTAAGCGTTTCATTGGAGATGAAAATGGGAATTTGAAAGGACTTGAGGTGGTACGTGTCCAGTGGGAGAAGGATGAAAGTGGGAAATTTCAGTTTAAGGAGGTTGAGGGCTCTGAGGAAATTATTGAGGCTGACCTAGTCCTACTAGCTATGGGATTCCTTGGTCCCGAGCAGGTTAGTTCTTTGTTCCTATCTTCCTTTTTTGGATGAAATGAGTGATTAATATCACACATATAGACTTTTTATCCAAAAAAAAAAAATCATATATAGAGACTATTCATCTTAATTGAGGGATGATTACGGCTTAAAAGCTGGGATTTATTCACGATACACTACTAATTCATTTTGCATGGTTTGAGCGATTGCACGTCAATTCTCATGCTTTTTTTGTTTGTTTCCAGAATGTGGCAGAGAAGTTGGGCTTGGAGCGAGACAATCGATCGAACTTCAAGGCAGAATATGGCCGTTTCTCAACCAATGTGGAAGGGATCTTTGCAGCTGGGGATTGCAGGCGAGGCCAGTCCTTGGTTGTATGGGCAATATCAGAAGGACGACAAGCTGCTTCACAGGTGGACAAATATCTCATGAAAGAAGAAGAGGATGTTACCATTAGCACTGATGATACACAGGATAACCTTGTCAAGAGGCACCAAGACCTCACCAAGAGACACAAAGACAGCAGCAAACACACCGTCATGACTTAGTCAACCCTTCAATTTTTTTTCCTTCTGTTCCTTGCACACCGCTGAAAAGAGATAGAACTGATACACAAGATACACAAATCATTCTGGGATCGATCAATCACCCTAGAGAATGATGATGTGGATGGAATAAAGCTGGAGAATCACCAGAATGGTGTTCGGTTCCCACATGTGAAGCCTGGGGGACTTGGGTAGGGATTGAGCAGAATTGGAGAGGTAGCATGTGTGTAGCTGGTATAGGAGTTAGAGAGGATAATTATGGTGTTCCGTTTTTTATAACTTTGTTCCAGCTTTGCTTGAAAATTGTTAAGCTCATCCGGTAGTTGTTCAGGAATAATGTACAGTTTTGTCTCGGATATTTTATTAAAATATGTTGGAAAAATTATTTAGTTCTTGATTGTCCATTTCTTCTTGCTGAGTGATAGAAAGATCGTTTTTGTGCTGAAGGAATTGGATTTCCTGCATGCTGCCTTCGGTCTAGAGGATAGATTTATTAACCCTTTTCTGTAGTCCTTGTGAAAGAATGGATTTATCCTTTCTTATTACTCTTGCATTTCTTCAGTGTTGTATTAAACCATTGCCAATCTTTCTAATCAACTGAATTGGGATTCGGAGGATGTCTGGGTTGATAGGAATCTGCAGTGTCCTATGCATACTCGCTTTCAAGTGACAAAAAAAGTGCATGCCAGTGGAAAGAGCCAGGGGTTCTGTCAACTGTTTTAAGTGCTGAAAGTTTATGAGCCGGTGATATATGACAAACACCGTAAATAGCAACTACTTCTGTAACAAGTTTAGCCAATTATAGTTTCTTTTGTTCAGTGGCCGTTGGGTATTATTATTATTTTTTAAAAAAATTATAACTTGTTTGGTTGACTAGTTTTTTTTTTTTTTTGGGCTAAAAAATTGCACTTAAATGCGATCGAGTCCTAGAGTTACTAAGATTGACCTTTGGACTCTTCTGACTCGAAACTTAAGTGCTCATGACCTGACGTTCGAGCATCGTGGATCTAATTTTGACTTGACACCTTAGATCTTGTACTAGGTCTCGGCTCAATCTTTAGTGTTGCGAACTGGATCCTCGGACTCGATTCCAATCTGCACCAAAGGCGCTTCGAACTTGAATGCAACCATACAATTGGTGCACCAGATCTGGTCCAAGCCCAAACTCCAAGCGCCTTAAAACTGATCCCAGGTTGAAACCTTGACGCCTTGGATATGGTCCCGAACGCCAGACTCGATCTCGAACCGAACCCTAGGCACTCTAAGCGCAGTCCCTATCTAAACCCTATGCAGCCTGAATACAATCTCGACCCCAAACCCCGAGTGCCGTACAGTCGAACCTGATCTGAATCCCTAGCTCCCCAAACGCAGTCTCAACTCAAAACCCGATCACCCCAAATGTGATCTGGACCTAAACCCTGGTCACTTTAGATCGACTCTCGAGCTAAACCCCCAAGGGCCTCAAACCATCCCAACCCAAACCATGAAAACCCCGTACCTAGTCCTAAATCAACTCTTGGGCATCCGAAATGAGGTCTCGAATGGAACGTTGGTCGCTCTGGACTCGATCCCAACCTAAATCTCTAGTACTCCGAATTGACTCATCGTCGCTTCGGACATGGCTCTGGATGGAAATCCCAAGTGTTGCCAACCAGGTTCCGACTCAAACTCCAAGCGTCGTGGCTTGAATCCTGGATGCTCTCAATCAGATTCTTATCCAAATCTCAGGCATTTTGAACCATGTTTTGGTCTAAACCTTCGACATGATCCACGGCCATTTCTCGACTCATGTGTCAAACCCAACCTGACTCCCAAAACATATGACCATAGTATAACAAACTAATTTTGAAACTTTTGAGAACCACTTTTTTTTATTTTCAAAACAGTTTTTCAATTTTATTTTTTCAAAAACAAAAAAATTAACTATCTTGTTTTCAAAAATTAAAAACGAAAGCAATACAAAACAACCTCTTAGTTTGGTCTTGTCTGTTAAGTTTTGGTAGTGATGCCCCTGGAACTAAATTTGCTGACTTGAAGTCATTGAAACAAAAAAAATAAAATAAAAAAAAAGATCACTTGCATGAAAATTGTGTCTAAATTTCTGTAATGGCTTCCTTGTTTTTCATTGTATGAAAAACAAGGAAGCCATTACAGAAATTTAGACACAATGTAATAAATTCCTCACTTTGAAAGACCTTAAATCATTGTTTCATCCGTTCTTTCTCCTTTATACATATGTAAGAAGGGTTAGAAGTGCAAATGAACAATTTGCTGGATTAAAGAGGAGTAAATATTAGACAAGAAAATAGGATAGCAGTGCCCTTCTTCCACAAGCTTCTTGGTTGCGGGGTCAGAAGATGCCACCGAGCTGCATGAGGTGACAAAATGAATTGGTTATGCGAGGAAAAAATATTGCTATGAAACAACAAACAGAAGCAGTTGAAACGGTGTTGTCCTCCGAAGTCCTCACTCATAGTTCCATAGTTTCATCATAAGCAACATAATTTAAATTGAAAGCAGACCATATAAAAGCTCCCAAATGACTCCTTGAGGAAACAATTCTCGAAGAATTTTTTTTTATTATTTTTTTAGTTCCGTAACTGATACCTAAGACTATTATCCTAGATCACGCTGGTCACAGGTTTAAATTTGTGATGCTTGTTTGGTTCAATTAGCCAAATTTATTAAACAATTCCTCAATGTTATATTTATCTAAAACTCAGTTCCCTCCCTAGACGGAACCCCTATGAAAAATAAATGCTCAGTTACTCAATCTTTACTCGTATATTGCATGAGCATTTTATAATACAAATGGATGATTTCTTTTGTTATCCCTATTTTGTTTAGGGATATTTACGATTTACTTGTTTTCATAACCAATTATTCATGATTTGCCAGCTCATTGATACAAATAATATCCAAATACCAAACCCACCCTCTATATAGCTTTTGTCAAATAGAAGAAGCTCTTGGAAAGATCCTAAAAAGAGTTTGCTCTTCCTCCGTAAAAAATGATTATATCAAAATGTTCAGTGTCCTAAAGCCAAGGTTAGATCTCATTATCATGAATTCTGGGCTTCTAAGTTTTGTTTATGCTCCAATAATTCAGAAACCAAGCATTTTGAATTTCAGTAAGAGAATTTCTCTTGCTTACCTGGACAGCCTCAATTTCCCTTTCCGAGACAGGTGTGCGTTTAGGCTGAAGAGAAGCTTTGCCTCCCTCAGCAGTATTGAATGGTGGTGGGGGGACTTCGGAGCTTGACATGATAAAATGATGAACCTTTGTATCTGTTGATGCAACTTGAGTTTGCGAGACAAAATCTATGCATAAGAAAACATAAATGATTTGAGATCATCAAGATAATCAGATACAAAAGGAAAATAAAATGGTGAAAATAGTACACAAATGAATCACACAAAAAAGCTGAAAGTGCAATCTACATTTTTGTTCTCATGATATTTAGGCAAAAGTAGAAATTCAGAAAGTCTCATTTGTGTACATGTGCAACAGAAGATTGGCTTGTATCTCATTGTGATCAAGCAAATTAAAAACAATTCACATATGATGAGGATACTAGAACTCAAACTTAACCTGGCCAGGCAGCACCCACGCTTTCACAACTTGATTTTAACAGACTTTGACACACTGACACTTTATTCCTCTTGTAATAGTTGCTTAATATACTATAAACAAGGTGAACTACTGGCACCTTCTAGCTGTATAAAATAAATTTGATGGCTTACTTCTTCAAGCCTTTCTCACTACCTTAATCCATTCTATTTTTTTCCAAGTTACCATTTTCCCATCAAACTTTGTGGCTTATTCGTAGAACATCTCTACCGGCTTCTACATATCCATCTGATATACAATTTTAACTCTTCAGAAAACATCCTTCCTGTTATACACAAAAAAACTTATGACAATAAAGCCTCAATCATCATAACAGTGTACCACTGCAGCCATGACCTTGTATCAGTAGTGAAATAAAACAAGCCACGGTTTTAAGTGCTAGAAATCCAAAGGTCATTTCCTAAAAAAATTTAAATTTTGAATACTACCATCAATTCATGTATATAAAAGATCATAAATCACATTATCAGAAGCTAATTTCGATAATCACACCCTTCGCTCATACCATCTCTAATCCCTCCAATATAAATTCCCTCACAATTCACCAAATTCCAACATATTTAGCTCATTAAGGCTCATAATTTATGCTTGAATACAGATTAAAACAACAAGTGACTTGATTTAGATTCCATTTAACCAACCAACTTCAAAGGTCAATCATCCTTTCAATTACAACTAAATTGATCAACTTTTTTTGAAGATCACAACTTTAGATAGACAAAAAATGAAACCCACTTCTTATTTTTTCCAAAAAAACACACTGAAATCAAAATTCAAGTATAAAACAGTAATAAAAGCAGCAAAAACAAAAATCAAGTTTCATAGAATTAATTAAGACAACAAAAGGGCAAAGAAAGGAAGAAAGAAAAGGGGACCTGATGATGAAGCGTGTCTTTGAGGAAATTTAATGCGTGGAATTCTCTTCACTAAGTGTGCTGCTCCTCCACCCATTTCTATCTTCAAAGTTTCAACCTTTACTCTCTCTCTCTCTCTCTCTCTCTCTCTCTCTCTCTCTCCTTGCTTAGGTGACTGAAAATCAGTTCAGAAAGAGGCCACAACGACCGTGGGGGGCTTGATCTATGTCTTTATGGGCTGGACCCAAACTATAGTTTAAAATCTATTGGGCTTTATGGACTGGACCCCGACCTGCAATATCCGCAACCATCATGAGAAAAGAGTCGTTATTAAATCCACACAAAATTACATTTTAGAAAGTTTAGTACTCCATAAAATTAATAAACCTCCATATTTGAATGAAAAAAATATCTACATAAAACAATAAGAACCAAAAAAAAAAAGAAAAAAAAACAAAAGTAAGATATGGAAAGCTCGTCCTTATGATCGTTTTCAGGAAATATTTAGTCTCAATTATGGCATAAACTGGTCTTATAATATCTTTATTATGTAATAAAAAAATTGTTTTGTAAAATTATATATTAACAAAACAAATTAGAGCAAACATCAAATATACTTCCAAACTATTGGGGTTGTAACAATTTTATACCTAAGCTATTTTTTTGTATAAATTTTATCTTGAAACAATTAGACTTTTCACACGAAAGCATTAAGTTCTTAATAAAATGATGTCGTTTTTTATAAAATAAAAATATAATTTGGACGAAAAACTTAAAAAATGGAAGAAAATTCTTAATTGAGATTTTTTTTAAAAACATTTAATAATAAAATTGATATAAAATATTATTTTATTGTAAAATTGAGACTACATATACAGCATAATTGAGTGCATTTTTGAGCTTTTTTACGTTATAAAATTACTTTCTTGGTTCAAAGATAATGTCTATCTTTTCATTTTAAGATGTCTAAAAAACTATGGTGTACTCTCAAAAAGTCTAAACCCTTAATTATTTTTTTATCCAATTTAATTATTCCAAATCATAACTTATTTTAATTATTTCAATCCAATTTCTCTTATTTCTATTCAAATTAAGGGTATTAATTTAAAATAATTTGAAGAGAGATGACATTAAATGCAATTAACTATATATTTTTTAATTTTTATAAAAAAATAACAGAATTATATTTTAAGATCGAGGTCGGAGTTTTTCGAATTGAGAAATTTAAAATACTAAAAAAAATAACTAATAATAGTTATTTTGAGAAGAAAAATATAACAAAGAGAAAATAAATTATATCTGAATTTCTTAAAAAGATATAAATATTTTAATTTAAATTAATTTATTTTTTAAAAAAATTTCTCCCTTATTATTATTATTATTATTATTTTATCTATCTGAGATAAGTATCATTATTTATTTTTGGATTAATATAAAATTTTTCGAATTACAAAATGGGGTATAATGGCAGCACTACGTGTCAACAAAATACACCGGAAACGGCACCGTGCCCACCACCTATTGTGCCGTCTTTCTCTGCCTCTCTTATAAAACCGGGACAATGTTTCTCGCTTTTGCAGAGCTAAACAAGAAAAAATTCCATCAGAAATGGCAGCAGCAAGAAGAATCAATCCGAGCCGTCTATTTTCATCACTAACAACATCATCATCGACAAACACCGCCTCCAAAATTACCGTCACACCCAAGCAGACGGATGGACTCGTCAAGGCTGACCACATCAAGCTTGCCCGAATCATCGAACTTGCAACTCAGCAGCTGCCGCAAGAAAATCAAGATCAAGAAACTGTCAAGAAACAAGAAATAATCAATCAAGATTCTCAACATCAAGAAGAGGAAGAAGAAGATGACGATGATGGTGGAGAGTATGTTAATAAAGAGACTGGTGAGATTGGTGGGCCGAGAGGACCTGAGCCTACTCGGTTTGGTGATTGGGAACGTAATGGTCGTTGCTCTGATTTTTAGATTTCTTTTTTCTTTTTAAATTATGACCTTTGCTGTTTTTTTTAATCATATTAATCTCTAATATAAAAAATTAGAGGCAGTTAAAGTTTTTATTGATTTTAGTTAGTTGTTTATTTGTAAGTTTAATTTTTGATTCGCGGAATTGAATTCAGAATTGTAGTAATTTCTTCTGTGTTATAACCATGAATCATCGAAGTTTTCAAGATGGGGTTTTATGGTAAGTCTCTCTCTTTCTACTGATTGAATTTTGTGTCTTTGATGAGGTTATTGACATGGGTTTTATCTCTTCTAAAATGGGTTTGCTTTATGTTTTTGCTTGCTGTTTGAATCTAGCTGCATCTTTTGATTTGCTTTCTTCTGTTTCTGAAAAAGAAAAGAGAAAATTGATATAGCTAGTGGCTCGAAGTCTACTCATTTCACTCTTATGTAGTGGAAAGGAATTGAATTTTTGCATTGTAAGAACAGTATAGATAGATTTTTTTTTCTCGATGAGTTGAATTTTTTATTAATGCTAGTTTAATTTTGGATTATGCTATTAACATTGCAGTTTTTGAATTGTTCTTCAGAATTGTAGTAATTTCTGTGTTTGTGTTCTTACCGAAGTTTCTGAAATGGGGTCTAGTTCTTGTTCAATCTTGTTGAGTGGTATATAGTTAAATGGAACATGGTGTTTTTCAACTCTGAGATTGCCATCTTCTAGCCCACATTTGGCTATGAAACTTCTATGAAGAAGCTTCATGTTGGTAGCTTTCTCATATGTTCCAATAAGTGCTTTAAATCAAAATTAGATAAACTGATTGAAATCTTGCCGGAAAACTCTTCAAGAGTGGCGGACTTGAGGAAATTGCATGCTTTCATTTCCAACAGTATTAGAGAATTTATTTATGTTGTGCCTGTGCCCCTGTGTTGTTGTGTTAAAGAGCAGGGAATAAGCGTATTTGGGCAGAATGAAGTGGAGGTTCCTGCTTACTATATGCCTTCTAGTGATTATAAGTTTTTTCGTATTGTTTTCTGGGTGTCTTTGATAGGATTGAGCAATTCTTCATGGTGGATCTGCAGCCACACATGGTTAATATGGCTTCTAACTAGGCTAGTTTTTATGAATTTCATGGCAAAAAAAAAAAAAAAAAAAAAAAAGGAAAAACCGGCAGCTGGCTGGTGGAAGTTAAATGTAGATGGTGTTAACTAGACTCCTATCACGAACAGCTGCTAGACTTATTATCACGTACAGCTGTTGTTATCCTTATCCCCTATCTATTTGTTACTTGTTACGTTGTACATTCTTAGTCAAACTACAACTCATGTACAGTATATATATTTACATGATACAATGAAATCAGGGACAAGGAAAAACCCTTTAAATCAAAACCACTACATGTTATCAGAGCCAATGGCTAACCAAATTGTTCCCGTATCTTTTACCTCAACCACACCCACCTCAACTCCTAATACTACCTCCAGCTTTGCTATTAAACTCAACCTACGAAATTACCTTGCATGGAAAACCTAGTTTGCTCCTCTTCTTAATTACCATGGCATGAATAATTTAATTGATAGCTCACCTGCTCCACTTGCAACAAGAACTTCAGCCAAATTCAAATGAAACTTCTGTCAATTCAGATGACACACAATGGTTCAAAAGAGATCAACTGTTGGTATCATGAATTTTGTCATCTTTATTTAAAGAGGTTTACTCATACATTATTGGTTGCAATACATCCTTTGCTGCATCGAAAGCACTAGAAAGTGCTTTTGGTTCTGTATCCCAAAATCGTCAACTTCAACTTTATGTAGAACTCCAAGAGTTGAAAAGGAATGATCTAAGTATCTCTCAATATGTTCAAAAGGCAAAATCACCGGCTGATGATCAATTTCACCTGCTGAATTTAATGCAATTGTCTATCGCAACATTGGTATTGAATTTCATCCTATTGTTTATGCTTTAAATTTACGTGCTGATCCAGATTCATTCAATGAGTTGTATAGCCAATTGCTTTCCCATGAGATTCTGTTGAAAAGCTATCAAGCTTCTTCCATGGCAAATATTGCCATTCGGCCATCCTTCCAACAACCATCAAGGCTGACTTTCATGATTAGCCGAGGTCACAATTTTCGACGATCCAACAATAAAAGAAAGTGCCAAATATGTGGTTATCATAATCACACTGCTGATGCATGTAGACAACGGTATGCTCCTAGACAATCTGCTCGCCCACAAGCACATATCGCATGGCAATCGCCATATCATGGATATCCTACATATCCGCCTGCTTCACCAAATCAGAACATGATCCCTCCTCCATATCTAGCATGGTTTCCTGATACAGGTGTAACACATCACATGACACCAAATCTTCACATAATAGTTGATCCACAAGCATACAAAGGAAGGGATCAAGTCACAATTGGTAATGGACAATCAATGACGATTTCTCATCTGGTATGGCTTTCATCCTTCCATTAAAAATACTAACTTGATGCTTAAGGATGTTCTTTATGTTCCCTTTTTTCTAAACCACTGTTATCTGTTCAACAGTTTACCAAAGACAATAATTGTTACTTTGAATTTCAACCTTCTCATTTTTTGGTTAAGGATCAATAGAACAAGGAAATCTTATTGCAAGGCAGGAGTAATGCGGGCTTGTATGAACTTAATCTTAGCAAGCAACAAGCCTTTGAATGAATGTGCATCCTTCCAAACATGACATGATAGGCTAGGTCATCCGTGGGGGCAGACAGTTTCAAGAATAATTCTGATAATAAATTACCCACTTCTAGTCCTTTAAACCGTTCTTTCGTTTGTTCCTCCTGTAAGTTAGGAAAAATGACAAAGTTGCCTTTTGCGTCTGTTGAGCATACTAGTTGTAACCCTTTTGAAAATCATCCATTCCAATGTCTAGGGTCTAGCTCCTGTGCTTAGCAATTTAGGTTTTAAATATTTCATCTTATTTGTTGATGATCATTGTCGCTTCACTTGGATTTTTCCATTAAAGAATAAAAGTGAAGTTTTTATTGTTTTTAAAATTTTTTAGTTTTACATAAAATTACAATTTTATTTAGACATAAAAGCTTTTCATTCAGATTAGGGAGGAAAGTTTCAAAAATTAAATTTGTATTTTAAGGAAAAAGGCATCATGCATCGCATTACATGTCCTTACACGCATGAACAAAATGGGTTATTTGAAAGAAAAATTTGGCACATTGTTGACACAAGACTGACACTACTTGCTCATGCATCAATTCCTTTTAGATACTGGTATTATGCTTTTGTTAATGCTGTCCATGCTCTCAACAATCTGCCTAGTACAAGTCTCAAACAAAAGGTATCCTATGAACTTTTACATCACAAGCTGTCGAATTATTTAGAAAACAAGACTTTTGGTTGTGCAGTTTATCCTTATCTTAGACCCTATAACCAAAATAAGTTTAACTTTAGAAGTAAAGAATGCATTTTTTTGGGTAAGTCTCCCAATCACTGTGGTCACTTTTGTCTAGATATTGACGAAGACAAGGTCTATATGGTTAGGCATGTGTCATTTAATGAAACTCTGTTTCCCTTTAAAACATGTAATGTGTCTCCCTCTCCTCCACCACAAACGGCGTCCCCTTGGCTAATTCTGCAGGTCTCGCCCAACTCTTCCTTGCAATCAGGTACGTCTCCTCTGTCTCCTTCTTCTACTCTGCCTCCCTCTCCTACCTCATTTCATCCAGTTTCCCAACAACCCGCAGCAGCAGCTAACTCACCCTTATCCTAAAAACCCGCTGCTCATGAATCACCCACTACTACACCACCATCATCCAGTTCACAACCTCATCCCACTATAACTGAAACTCTTCCACCCGTAACCTCTCCTAGGCCAGAACTCGTTGTAGACTTAACCAAATATTCCTCTCAACCCGAGCCCACCAATCCAAATCCCACCAGAACACATCCCATGCTACTAAGATCCAATACCATGAGCAAACGTGCGGCCCATCTCTCTTCCAAACAGAACCCGAAACTCAAATTTCTAACCACTGAACCATCCACTTTTCATCAAGCTAGTAAATTTCCTGAATGACAAAGAGCTATGTCAAAAGAGATTAATGCATTATTGCCCAATAAAACTTGGGAATTAGTTCCTAAATCGTTGAATGCTAATGTGGTTTTAAATAAGTGGGTGTACAGGATTAAATCAAAGCAGGACGGTTCCATTGATCGGTATAAGGCACGCCTTATGGCAAAGGGCTTTACACAATAGGAGGGTGTTGACTACAAGGAGACATTTAGTCCGGTAGTAAAAGCTACAACAATCAAAACGGTGCTTGCACTTGCCAATATGCATAAATGGTCAATCCAGCAGCTTGACATATCCAATGCATTTCTTCATAGGCATTTGAAGGAAACAATCTATATGACTCAACCTATCGGGTTTATAGATGAACAAAGGCCTGATTTCGTGTGTAAACTGAACCGCTCACTCTATGGGTTGAAGTAAGCTCCACGAGCTTGGTTTTCAAGGCTTGCGGACTTCCTTCATCATCACGGGTTCCTATCATCAAAAGCCGACTCTTCTCTTTTCATATACAATACCAATAATACTATCATCTATATCTTAGTTTATGTAGATGATATTATTATCACCGGCTCCTCCAAGGTGTCAATTTCTAATGTAATTTTGGCTTTGAAACAGGAATTTCCAGTGAAGGACCTTGGTGCTTTACACTACTTCCTTGGCATCGAAGTCATTCGGACTTCACAAAATCTTTGTCTGTCGCAAGCAAAATATATTAAGGATGTCTTGGATAGAGCCGGCATGCAAGACTCCAACACTTGCTTTACACCAATGGTCACGTCCCCTGTTTTATCTAAGCATATAGGTACACAGCTCCCTGATGATATGGAATACAGAAAACTAGTAAGAGCATTGCAATATATCATAATTACAAGACCTGATGTAGCCTTTGCTATCAACAAGCTATGTCAATTCATGCATTCGCCAAGTGATGTGCATTGGAAGGCTTTAAAACGACTCCTTCGATATCTTAAAGGTACCCATGACTTGGGCTTATCTTTTCCATCAAATTATTCACTTAATATAACTTGCTATGCGGATAGTGATTGGGGTGGTGATCCGGATGATAGACGATCTACTAGTGGTTATGGCATTTTCTTGGGTCCTTGTTTGATATCATGGCTTGCCAAGAAACAACCAACCATTGCTCGCTCATTGACCGAGAGTGAATATAAGCAATCGCCAATGCAACTTCAGAGTTCTTGTGGATTAAATCCTTGCTGACCGAACTTGGGTTTCCCATTTCTTCTAGTACCTTGTGGTGTGACAATATTGGTGCATCTACCTCTCATAAAATCCCTTGTTTCATGCCAGAACCAAGCACATAGAATTAGATTATCACTTTGTGCGGGAGCAAGTCGCTAACGGGACTCTGAAAATCAAGTTTGTTTCACCTGCGGACCAACTAGCTGACCTCTTCACCAAGCCCTTGTCATTGTCCAGATTTCAACTACTCCGTAGCAAACTGCCGCTCCATCCGCCCAAGGCCTTGCCGGGGGTGTTAGCTAGACTCCTATCACGAGCAGCTGCTAGACTTCTTACCACGTACAGCTGCTGTTATCCTTATCCCCTATCTATTTGTTACTTGTTACGTTGTACATTCTTAATTAGTCAAACTAGAACTCATGTACAGTATATATATTTACATGATAAAATGAAATCAGGGACAGGGAAAAACCCTTTAAATCAAAACCACTACAGATGGTAGCTCCTCCTTGGGCAACTCGGGACAGGCTGGTGCTGTTGGAGAAATTCGTGGTTGCAGACTTCTCCTGAGGTTGAGTCAGATTCTACGGAGAGTCTATTAGAATAATTGATTCACATCCTGCTGATTGCCACACTCTTTTGCACTTGTTTACTGGTATTAAGAAAGCTATTCAAGATTTTGGAGAGTTAGTTGCTGCACCAGTTTAAAGTTGGAGAGTTAGTTACCGCACCATTTTAAAGTAGGGAACTTTTGTGCAGATTTATATGGCTTATTTTGGCGCAGCCAAGAATCTTTGCTCGAAGTGTGGAACTCCCCACTTCTTGGGCCGATGCTATGGAGATTGGCGCCCCCTAGGAGTTGGTTTCTGATATGCTTGGACACTAGCCCTATTGACTAGAAGAAACCATTGTTTTTAGTTTTCAGAGGTAAAGGCTTAGGTTATGGATATGGCCATTGCAAACACATCTTCATGTCATTCCGATTACATGGTATTCTAGATAACTTCTCTACTTATCTTTAGAGACTACAATTGATTCGTCAAAAATAGCTTCTGAGTCCTGAGGTTGATCATATTTTGTTGGCTGCCTTTGACCATAATCCTGACATTGAACTAATCAACGACTGTGTTCTACACTCTAAACTGAAGAGTAAGATTTGCTAGTCTACTTGTTTTAGGCATGATCAAGGTCGGAGAGTATCTTATTCGCGTTCTTCTTGAGTGTAGCCACATAAAGATATCCTAATTATTATTTTTTCTTCACCAGAAAGGTCATGGATCTTAATCTTGGTTTATTATTATTTGTAGAATCTAGCAGCCATTATTGATGAGTTTTTCTTTATTATTGAATATGAAGTTGAAAACTTCAGTTTCATCCAATTAAAATAATCATGTAGGCATTCATATCTATCCTGTCTATAAATGGCAGTGGACGGGTTTATTAATTCAGTTAGTTTATCTGTACATTTAGTTTTCATTTAATACAAGTAAAAAATAATTTGTTAAACATATTCATTTTAATCTTTATGATTTTTTATAAAAGTTTTTTTGTCCTTAAAATTTATTTATTTTTGTATTTTGGTTATTTATACATAAGTTTTTTGGTCCTCAAAGTTTTTGAAAAAAATATTTTGGTTTTAACTTTTAAATTTAATGTAATTAGATCTTTACATGTTAATAAAAAAATTAAACTAAATTAGTGGATATTAATAAGATAAAAAATGAGTATCCATATCCTGAAATTGTATTAATTACACACACACATATATTTTTTTATCTTTATTCAATTCAATATCCATTGAAAATTTTTAATGGGTATTTATTAAATCGGATAAAACGATTATTCGTTTTATACCGACTTATTGTCATCTCTAATCCTGTCGTTGATTAGGAAAGATAATTTATTTGAAAATTTTTTTATAAGCATGTGACAACTCACACATACAAAAAAAATCTCTTCTTGATCAACTAACACATAAACGTGTTTAATATAATGGTTGTATATTTGTTAGCTTTTTTAAACGAAGGTTCGAATCTCAATGATTTTAAGTTTATTTAGTGGTTATGTAATAGAACATGTTCTTGTGTAGTTCAAGATCGATGGGCCTCTCCATAAATCAAAATTTTTTTTGATAAGGGAAATACAAAGCTGTCAATACACAAATTTAGGTGGTGGGCATCCAACATAGGTCTACTGATTCATCATGTATGGGACCCCAATGATCCTGATTTAAGTAATTATGAATGTTTTCAGCAGTGTTTTGAATAATATTTTGCATATCTTGCGCGTCAAGGACAATAAGGGCTTTAGCAGATTATGGCAAAATTGGAATCCATAAGAGTCAAGAAGTCATAGTTTTCTCCACATCTAATCAATTGAAATTAAGCAATCACATACAGTTTTTCCTACATGTAAATCCTATTTGACACTAAAGACAAGGAGCATCATACATCGCAATTTGACTCCTTTGGTTCTGTTATGATTTAACGACAGGGTTGACTGCATTTTTTATGTCAAAAAAAATGTCTTAAATAGACTTATTCCTCTATGCGGTCGTGTAATTAAGTTCCAATCCATTGCACCAAGTGGAAACTGCACTAGTATCAACCCATCTGATTTTTCTTCTTATTCAAATGTTTGGTATTTGATCATTTGGCCTCTTCATATGGCAAGTCTTAACAATATCTTAATCACAGAGCATCAAATTTTCTCCACCAAAATGGTGTACACTCTCAAAGTCATCTCCTCCATCTCCATCTCCCTCTTCCTTCTCACCTCCTATCTAAACACTGCAACAAGCCAAAATCATTGCTTAAAGACTGCTTGCAGCCCCAAAGAACCGACGATTCGATTCCCTTTTCGGATTCCAAATCGTCAGTCGAAGTCATGCGGTTTTCCAGGTTTTAACATATCCTGTGGTAGTTCCAATGAGACCATATTGGAGCTGCCCTTTTCAGGAAAATTTGTTGTTCAAGCTATCGACTATGCCACACAAGATATATGGATTAATGATCCGGAAAACTGCCTCCCTAACCGAATCCTTTCGCTTAATCTCTCTGCTTCTCCTTTTACTGGCCTGTATTATCAATCATTCATGTTCTTTAACTGCTCATCTTCTGATTATAGGAAATACGGGCTAAATCCAATAGCTTGTCTCAGTGACTCTACATACACAGTTTTTGCTACATCATCTTTAAGTGTTGTTGATTTTCTACAGAGAAAGAATTCATCCTGTAGTTTTATCAGGATGGTTCCTGTTCCAGTTGAGTGGCCGTTTTACCAGCAAATTTTGTCCTCGGACCTTAGCGAGGACCTGCATCTCACCTGGGATAAACCTGAGTGTGGAAAGTGCGAGTCGCGTGGTGGAAGGTGTGCTCTGAAGATCAATTCTAGCGAACTTGTCTGCTCAAATGTTACTCGTCACGGTAATTTGCTTCATACTCTCTATGATCTCTGTCTATTTGCCTCCCACATGTTTTTTTCTTTTTCTTTTTTGCCATAATCATGATGACAATTGCTGCCTTCTTGGGATGGTAATTGTCTAGTGATAAAGGACTTGAAAACTATAATTTTCAGAGTTGAAGTACTCAAATTCCATGACATCATGTTCCCAAACTATAGTTTAAAAAAGACCCCATTTGAGTAGGACATAATCGAATTTGGTATTGTCTGATAGTGATTAGAATTTTTGTTTTTGTTTTTGGTTGGTGGTTAATTAGGAACTGAATTGTTGAACTTTGATAATTAGTTTAGAGTGATTTGTTGGTTGGATCATGTAGATAAACAAGTTTATTTTTTACGTTATCATTTCGAATTCAAATTAAAAAAAAAGAAGGAAAATTAAGCTCGGACGGTCTATTTATAACTGAAAAAGAAATTTAGTCTCAATGATGTGAAAAATACCCTAAAATTTTATGGGAAAAAATAAAAAATTTTTGGGTTATAATTTGATGTTTCTGATAAGAATGGAATGACTATTTTGGAGAAACCTCTTATAAGAAGGTTACACATAGTGCATGAACATGCTGACGTTGCTACAGAATGGAATAACTTTATTATTTCTTGACAACAAATAAATAAAAAATAATACTACAAGTTTTGACCAACATATGATGATATTTATTCAAGCATGTACATAGAATTTCTCCACATTGGGACAGCTTAACGATTAACCTAATGGTTATGATAGTAAACTCACATTAATTAGATTTCTAAAAGAAATACCATATGCAATAGAAAAATTTCTAATGGATTTTTTTGTACTATCATAATTAGGATCAATATATTCATCTCTCTTTATCTAGTAATTAAAGTCTTTTATATGTTTTTAGATTTCTGATTACATCTCATTTGTTCTTAAAAATATTTAAAATATTTAATATATTTTTTCAATCAATTTTTCTGATTAAATGAATTTTTTTGATTGAAATGCCTTTGATTGAAATGCAAAAAAATAAGATTCTAAAGACTTTAAAAATAGAACAAGCATGTAAAAAGAATTGGTATTTCTTTAAATTTTATTTGTCAAACCATGATTTTTTTTTTTTGAACAAATGAGATATTTTTAAATCTTATTTGTCAAAACAAATTCTTTTGATCTTATGCGTCAAAACATGGTATTTTTTTGCCACTTAGATCAAATACCTACATATGTTTGTTTTTTTTTTCACTAATAATTTTACTAAACTCACTAATAAATTTTAAAATTATTTTACAATTTTTTTAAAAAATTTACAATTTGATTAGTGAATTTAGTAATAAAAAAAAGAAAAAGAAAATTGATATGTGTAGGTGATGTTTTGACAAATAAAATTAAAAGAGCTCTATTTTGACAAATAAAATTTAAAAATATCTTATTTGGATAAAACACTCACATATTTTAAATAAAAAGATGGATATGAATAAAGAAAGAAATTTTATATTACTCATAAAGAAAGATAGACTCAATATTTACAATAGTTACTCATTGAGTATTTTAAAAATTTTTTCAACTATGATGCCAATAGATTTAAGCCATTATTGCAACTTATCTAGATTAACCTAGCAACTTATTCGAGTACTTAATTATAAGATAGGATAATCTACACGCAATAGATTGACTGCATGAGGTTAGCATTTTGGATAATTTAATCAAGGCTAGTGATTGGCTGCCTAGAGTCTTATCTGTTGACCACTCATATATATCATCCTCTCCAAGAAAAATATTGGTCTAAAGAAATGGGACGCACTCCTCCCCTGAAATGCAATCAACCCTTTTCAGATTGCAGTCATAGGTTTTGGATGGTTGACTCAGACATTGCAAAATGATACCAATGGCTCTATTTGGTCAAAACTTTCCCATTAGGACACACAGGCTAAAAACTTTTATATAGCTCAAGTACTCAATCCCATTGGTCTAAGGCCTAACGCCACCTAAAACAAGGACTATACTAGTTCTCATTGGCTAACCTAATGCACTTAGTCTCCCTAGGGAGATACGTGTTCCCTGTTGGTCTCATTAATTAACTCAAACAATAGAGTTATTTGGTATTGTCCAAATTGAAATTGACTTACTATATAGGGAAATTTAGGGTTTAGGAAGAAAAATATGAGCATTAAGGAATTCTTTGTTGTATAACCCAATAGTCAGAACCCAAAAGAGATATTGTTTGTGCGAATATGCTTTGTAGGAAATTAAGAATAATCTATCTGTCATGTTTTTTTTCTTTGAAACAAAAGAAAATGAAGCATTATGGATGTTTGTTGAGGTAGTGAATAATTACAAGGATAAGTAATTCAATTTGTCATTTTATAACAACCTCAATTTTTATTTTAAATTATATTATTATATTTCTAAATATTGTTTAAATATTTAATCTGTTATTTTAATTAGTTTTTCAATAATAAATAATTTTTTTAATGAAATGTCCATAATTGAAATGCATATAATAATAATAATAATAATAGATATAAAAACTTCAAAAACCGAATATGCATATCATGTAACCTTTATTTATTTATTTTTTTGATTTTTTTAGTTAGAAATATTTAGATAAAAAAATTATTAATGGTCAGAAAAATTGATCGAAATGATATATTCAAAATTTAAAATATTATTAAAAAATATAATAAATGTAATTAGAAACGTAACATATTGGGTTATTTACCCAAACTATAATATTTGATTTGAGTAATATGGAAATATTTTTCTGGAAGTTACATTTACATATAGCATCCACTAATCTACTGGATACAACATGGTCAGGACTTCCAAGGTCAGCTCTTTATGCCATCACAGCAGTAGCTGGAATACCAGGGGCATTAATTCTACTATGTCTCCTATGTTTCCTCGGTGGCAGGATCAAGTCCTGTGCTACAGGAAGGAGCCAATTAGGTCTGCCAGAAACTAATTCCATAGTCAATCCAGAACCTAGACTTGTTATTGCTGGGCTGGATGGACCAACGATAGAGTCCTATCCCAAAATAGTACTTGGTGAGAGCAGAAGGTTGCCTAAACCTGAAGATTGCACTTGCGCAATATGCTTGTCTGAGTACAAGTGTAAGGACACACTTAAGACTATTCCTGAGTGCAAACATTGCTTCCATTCTGATTGCATTGATGAATGGCTTCGAGTGAATGCTAGTTGCCCCATTTGCAGAAATTCTCCTCAAAGATTGCCACCAGCTGAATCTCGATGAGAAGTTAGTCCTTGCACGTGTTAATTACAATGCTTGTAAAGGACTATTTGCCCAACTTTTTGTTTTCTTTTTTGGTGCGTGATAATTTTGTAGTTTGAGAAAGAGGGAATCGAATTTATAAAATAGATTACGCCTCGATTCTCCTTTTTGACCATAAAATTGTACATAACATATTTCATGAGTATATGAGTATTTTCAGTTTATCTTCTAAAAATTAGGATTAATGGCTTTTTCTGTTTTTATATAATAAGATAATTCTCTAATCTATACTTATATATTTAATTAAACTAATTTTATCTTTATATGTACATGAAGTGTTTAATATATCATTTTACCAAAATTTTCATATTAAATTATCGTCATACGATTTGTATTTACGAAAATTAACGATTAACCCTAAAAATTATTTTGAAGTTTGAAACCAAAATGGTAAATTAAAAATTAAGCAATATGGTGGACCTACAAGTGCAAATAAGATTTATCTAATAAATAATTGAAGAGATTATCCTTCTTTTGAGTTATCCTTGTGTGACTCAAGGTATTGCTAGGAAACGAAATTAAGTAAAAGAATAAAATAGAAAGATAAAAACAATCACACAACATAAGTATTTTAACATTTGACAATGTTCTCTATTTCATAGCGACACTAGTATTTTTTATTAGATTTTGTCAAGTGACAACTATATATATATATATATATATATATATGATGTTTTTTTCTATTTATAATATTAACAACTAGAGTTATAAGGAAAAAAACCTAACGAAACTGCCGTACTGATTCTACATATCACTTACATACATCCATATCAATCTTTACAATTTAAAAGGTATCCCTCTGTGACCCAATGTCTATAAAATTTGATAAGGGAAATACAAAGCTGTAAATACACAAATTTAGATGGGCGGCATCCAACACAGGTCTATTGATTCTGCATGCATATATGAGACACCAATGATCCTGATTTAAGTAATTATGAATATTTTTAGCAGTTTTTTTTTTTTTTTTTTTTTTTTTTTTTTTTTTTAATGGTGAAAATATTTTGCATATCTTGCATGTCAAGGACAATAAGGGCTTTTGCAGATTATGGCAAAATTGGAATCCATAAGAGTCAAGAAATAATTTTCTCCACATCTAATCGATTGAAATTAAGCAATCACAGTTTTTCCTACATGTAAATCCTATTTGACACTAATGACAAGAAGCATCATACATCGCAATTTGACTCCTTGGTTCTGTTATGATTTAACGACAGGGTTGACTGCATTTTTTATCACAAAAAAATGTCTTAAATAGACTTATTCTTCTCTGTGGTCGTGTAATTAAGTTCCAATTCATTGCACCAAAGTGGAACCTGCACTAGTAACAACCCATCTGATTTTCTGCTTATTCAAATGTTTGGTATTTGATCATTTGGCCTCTTCATATGGCAAGTCTTAACAATATCTTAATTACTACTAGTGCATCCACATCATAAAGCATCAAATTTTCTCCACCAAAATGGTGTACACTCTCAAAGTCATCTCCTCCATCTCCATCTCCCTCTTCCTTCTCACCTCCTATCTAAACACTGCAACAAGCCAAAATCATTGCTTAAAGACCGCTTGCAGCCCCAAAGAACCGACGATTCGATTCCCTTTTCGGATTCCAAATCGTCAGTCGAAGTCATGTGGTTATCCAGGTTTTAATATATCCTGTGGCAGTTCCAATGAGACCATATTAGAGCTACCGTTTTCAGGAAAATTGGTTGTTCAAGCTATCGACTATGCCACACAAGATATATGGATTAATGATCCGGAAAACTGCCTCCCTAACCGAATCCTTTCGCTTAATCTCTCTGGTTCTCCTTTTACTGGCCTGTATTATCAATCCTTCATGTTCTTTAACTGCTCATCTTCTGATTATAGGAAATACGGGCTAAATCCAATAGCTTGTCTCAGTGACTCTACATACGCAGTTTTTGCTACATCATCTTTAAGTGTTGTTGATTTTCTACAGAAAAAGAATTCATCCTGTAGTTTTATCAGGATGGTTCCTGTTCCAGTTGAGTGGCCATTTTACCAGCAAATTTTGTCCTCGGACCTTAGCGAGGACCTGCATCTCACTTGGGATAAACCTGAGTGTGGAAAGTGCGAGTCGCGTGGCGGAACGTGTGCTCTGAAGATCAATTCTAGTGAACTTGTCTGCTCAAATGTTCCTCGTCATGGTAATTTGCTTCATACTCTCCATGATCTTTGTCTATTTGCTTCCCACATGTTTTTTTTTTTTTTTTTGCCATAATTATGATGAAAATTGCTGCCTTCTTGGGATGATAATTGTGTAGTGATAAAGGACTTGAAAACTATAATTTTCAGTGTTGCAGGACTCAAATTCCATTACATCATGTTCCCAAACTGTAGGTTTTTATTTGAAAAAAATCCCATTTGAGTAGGTCATAATCGAAGTTGGTTAGGACCTGATTTGGTGAACTTTGATAAATTACTACTAGATTAGTTTAGAGTGATTTGTTGGTTGGATCATGTTGATAAACAAGTTTATTTTTAATGTTATCATTTCGAATTTAAATTTGAAAAAAAAGGAATTAAAATTAAGTTCGGAGGGTCTGTTTAGAATCCAATTGAAAAAGAAATTTAGTTTCGATGATGCGAAAAATACAAACTTTATGGAAAAAAATAAAAGTTGTTGGGTTATAATTTGGTATTTCTGATAGAAAGGAATGACTATTTTAGAGAAACCTCTAAATAGAAGGTTACACAGAATGCATGATCATGCTGATGTTGCTACATAATGGAATAGTTTTATTATTTCTTGACAACAAATAAATAAAAAATAATACTACAAGTTTTGACCAGGCCAACATATGATATTTATTCAAGCATGTACATAGAATTTCTCCAGATTGGGACAGCTTAATGATTAACCTAATTCTTATGACATTAAACTCATATGAATTAGGTTTCTAAAAGAAATACCATATGCAATAGAAAACTTCCTAATGGATTTTTATGTACTATTATTATTAGGATCAATATATTCATCTATCTTTATATAGTACTCAAAGTCTTTATTGTTCTTAGATTTCTAATTTCATCTCATTTGTTCTTAAAAATATTTAAAATGTTTAATTTGTTTTTCCAATCAATTTTCCGGTCAAATGAATTTTTTTGACCGAAATGCCTTTCATTGAAATGCAAAAAAAAATAATAATAAAAAAATAAAATAAAAATTCTAAATCTTATTTATCAAAACATGATTTTTTTTTTAACAAATGAGATATTTTTAAATCTTATTTTGTCAAAACATGATTTTTTTTTTTTGCCACTTAGATCAAATACCTATATTTGCCAGATTTTTTTTCACTAATAATTTTACTAAACTCACTAATTATTTTCAAATTATTTTACAAAATTTAAAAAAAATTAAATTTGATTAGTGAATTTAGGAGTAAAAAAAATAGAAAATTGATAAGTGTTGGTGATATGATGTTCTGACAAATAAAATTAAAAGAACTCTATTTTGACAAATAAAATTTAAAAGTATCTTATTTGGATAAAACAATCACATATTTTAAATGTAAAAGCATTAAAAAAGTAGATATGAAGAACAAGAGAAATTTTATATTACTGATAAAGAGAGATAGACTCAATATTTATAATAATTACTCATGTAGTATTTTAAAATTTCTCCAAAGTACCGTGCCAATAGATTTAAGCTATTATTGCACCTTATATATATATTAACTTAGCAACTTACTCGAGTACTTAATTATAGGGTAGGATAATCTACACGCAATAGATTAATTGCATGAGGTTAGCATTTTGGATAATTTAATTAAGGCTAGTGATTGGCTGCCTAGAGTCTAACTGTTGACCACTTATATATATTATCTTCTCAAAAAAAAAAAATATTGGTCTAAAGAAATGGGACACATTCCTCCCCTGAAATGCAATCAACCCTTTTCAGATTGCAGTCATAGGTTTTGGATGGCTGACCCAGACATTGCAAAATTATACCAATGGCTTTATTTGGTCAAATCTTTCCCATTAGGTCACACAGGCAAAAATTTTTTTATATAGCTCAAGTGATCCATCCCATTGGTCTAAGACCTAATGCCACCTAAAACAAGGACTATCCTAGTTCTCATTGCCTAACCTAATGCACTTAGTCTTCCTAGGGAGATACGTGTTCTCCTGTTGGTCTCATTAATTAACTCAAACAACAGAGTTATTTGGGATTGTCCAAATTGAAATTGACTTACTATATAGGGAAATTTTAGGGTTTAGGAAGAAAAAGATTTGAGCATTAAGGATTTCTTCGTTGTATAACCCAATAGTCAAAACCCAAAAGAGATATTGGTTGTGCGAATATGCTTTGTAGTAAATTAAGAATAATCTATCTGTCATGTTTTTTTCTTTCTTTGAAACAAAAGAAAATGAAGCATTATGGACTTTTGTTGAGATAGTTAATAGCTCAATTTGTCATTATCTAACAATTTCAATTTTTATTTTAAATTATAGCTATTATGTTTTTAAATACTGTTTAAATATTCAATCTGTTATTTTAATCAGTTTTTTCAATAATAAATAAAATTTTGATTGAAATGTTCATAATTGAAATGCATATAATAATAATAATAATAGATATAAAAACTTCAAAAACTGAATATGCGAGATCATGTAACCTTAATTTATTTATTTTTTTAATTTTTTTAGTAAAAAATATTTAGATAAAAAAATTATTAATGATAAAAAAAATTGATCGAAACGATAGATTCAAAATTTAAAATATTATTAAAATATAATAAATGTAATTAGAAACGTAACATATTGGGTTATTTACCCAAACTATGATATTTGATTTGAGTAATATGGAAATACTTTTCATGAAGTTACATTTACATATACCATCAACTAATCTGCTGGATACAACATGGTCAGGACTTCCCAGGTCAGCTCTTTATGCCATCACAGCAGCAGCTGGAATACCAGGGGCATTAATTCTACTATGTCTCCTATGTTTCCTCGGTGGCAGGATCAAGTCCTGTGTTACAGGAAGGAGCCAATTAGGTCTACCAGAAACCAATTCCACAGTCAATCCAGAACCTAGACTTGTTATTGCTGGGTTGGATGGACCAACAATAGAGTCCTATCCTAAAATAGTACTTGGTGAGAGCAGACGGTTGCCTAAACCTGAAGATTGCACTTGCGCAATATGCTTGTCTGAGTACAAGTTTAAGGACACACTTAAGACTATTCCTGAGTGCAAACATTGCTTCCATTCTGATTGCATTGATGAATGGCTTCGAGTGAATGCTACCTGCCCCATTTGCAGAAATTCTCCTCAAAGATTGCCACCAGCTGAATCTCGATGAGAAGTTAGTCCTTGCATGTATTAATGCTTGTAAAGGGCTATTTGCCCAACTTTTTGTTTTTTTTAAACAATTCTTATGTTTTTTTTTATTAGCTTGAGAAAGAGGGAATCGAATTTATAATATAGATTATGCCTCGATTCTCGTTTAACATAAAATTGTATATAACATATTCCATGAGTATTTTCGATTTATTTTTTAAAAATTAGGATTAATGACCCATTCTGTTTTTATATAATAGGATAATTCTTTAATCTATACTTATATATTTAATTTAATTTAATTTATCTTTGTATGTACATGAAGTGTCTAATTTATCATTTTATCAAAATTTTTAGATTAAATTATTGTAATTAATTATATGATTTGTATTCAGGAAAATTAGATATTAATCATAATTTTGAAGTTTGAAAGCAAAATGGTAAGTTTGATACTCCTATATGGTGGACCTAAAAGTGCAAACAAGATTTATCTAATAAATGATTGAAGAGATTATCTATTGTATTCAATTCACCTTTTTAAAGATGGTTTGGTTAATGAATGGATAATAACAATTATAATTAAGGGAAAATTATCTTTTAAAAAAGGATAATTTTTACCTATACGGTCATAACCCCACCGTTATACAGTAGTATTTTTTTAAAATAAAAATTAATTTTTTTCTTGTTAACTATTTATCATTTATTTTACGGACACACTAAACATGTCTAAAACAAACTTTTACATCCTTAACATAATTTTAGTGATAATTAAAAATTTATTTCAATTTTATTTTTAATCCTTTATGGAACACATAAGGTCAAAAAGTAAGTGTTATGTGCATTTTAATTTTATAATTCAATGATTAAAAATTAAACAGATATTTATTATTGATATTTTTAAAAAATTATTTGCAAAAAGTTTTACTAACTCGAGTTGTATTTAGAATGCAAATAAAATTTTTTAAAAAATTTTGCTTGATTTTTTTGTTGATTATTTCAAAAAGTAAAATTTTTGATTTGAAAAGAAGATTATTTAATTGTTTTCAACAACACAAGAAATAAAAGTCCACCAAGAATAAAAAGAATAAAATTTAAAAAACCTAAAAGGTGTCGATTGAACATTCTCTTTATGTCAGGGACTATTCTGTACTCTAATTTCCTAGAACAGACTCTAATGAAAGACGAAAGATCTTTCACTGACCTCCCCTCCCTTTGTCTCCAATAAAACACGAATCTCTCTCTTCCTCGTATGTTTTCTGCGTTCTGGCGGTGAAAGAGAGGACAAACGAAAAGAATGGCAGCAGCAGGAGCATTAGCAGCGCCAGGCCAACTTAACCTGACAGAATCACCTTATTGGGGTTCAAGAAGCGTTGATTGTTTTGAGAAATTAGAACAGATTGGTGAAGGCACTTATGGGTCAGTACAGTTTTCTCAATCTCCTCTTTTTTATTGTCTTTAAAGTTTGGATCTTTTTTTGGCTATTTTAAATTATGATAGTGTTCAGGAAACAATGTTTTGTGTACAACTTTTTGCAGTAAAGATGCTTTCTTTTACCTTGTGCGTGTTGATTTTGAATTGGGTGTGAGAATTTAGCATCAGGGATTATAAGTATGTAGAGAAAAAAACATGGGTTTTCCTTTTTGGCATTGTGGGGTCTAGAAAATTTAGCATTAGGGTTTATAAGCATATAGAGAAACTAGGGGTTTATGCTGTTATTTTTCTTAATTCATGCTCAAGAAGCAATCTGACTGATTATGTGCTAAATATTGTCTGAGAATTGCGTCTTGTGGTATTAATTTTCAATTGACTTTGAGAAATAGGGTTTCAGGTATGTAGAGAAAAAACTAGGGGTTTATGCTGTTGGATTTTAGAAGTGTAATGCTTTGTATCACGAAAACTTTTTGATGAATTTATCATCACGAATCCAACAATGGCAGCAGTGATAAGTTAATGCACTTCCTGGTCATTTATGTAATGTCTGTATTTGAGATCTATTCGTTAAATTTTTTCATGTTTCAAAGCATTACTCGTTTTAAAATGTTGTTGATTGGCTAAGTGATTGGTAGTCGCCGTGGGAATGAATTGGAGAGATTAGAATTGGAAGATGCTACATGAGTTTTGCCTCTTATGTTGATCCATGTGTTATTGAAATTCTGTGATGCTTGTGTCTCCTTGAAAACATGAGTCTGGTCTTTGGGTGTAGTAAGTCATTAAAAATGATTTAAGGTATTTGGAGTGATCTGCTTTTGCTTTATCTTGTGGTTAGTTAAGCATGACATTTGATAAACTTTTTCTTATGATGTTTGCTTGCTAGAAAAAGAAACTTTAATAAATTAGAAGAATGGAAAGTGAACACAAGTGGAGAATAAAAGATCCTTCCAAAGAGACAAGTTAAGAACTACTAAAAGAAAATATCTCGCGAATCTCTTTGTATATCCCTTAGGATTATCCCTAAAAAAACACTGTGACGAAGCAGCGAGAATTACGTTATCTCAACCTTGCTTAATTTGAATGATTCTTGAATTATGCTTCATTCTCCCAAAGGGAACTCCACTGTATAAGTTTTTGGAAAGAGCATAATTGAATATGACTATAGTTGGCAGATGTTTGATGGCAAATAGGATGTTTTGTGGTTGGTTGCTGGATTTTTTTTAACAAGAAATAGTGTGCTGAAAACTGGGGAAGGGGGAGAAGAAGGAAAACCTATTAGGCACGCATGGTTTTGACATCAAACCAAAAAGTTATAGTATTGTTATTTAGAAGTCTTAAAAAATTGACTGATACACACATCTTTGACACTCTTAGACTCATCTTTGTCCTAAATAGGAAGAATTTTCATAAAAACCAGTAGGTTTAATGGAAACATATTAGCAAAAGAAAAGCCTAAGACTCAGAATTTCCTGAAATTCTTATGACGCTACTAAAATCCAAACTAACTCCCTCTCTACTGGAAAGGGAAGAAGTTTCACACATATGCCCTTGCATAAAATAAGATCCCAAAACAAAACGTTGACCTAACAGCTATTTATTTAAAACTTGAGCTATCAAGACATATAGTTACAACAGTAACTATTGCATGTGGAAGTCATATAAGAATTCTAAATTATTGACTACGAAATACTTTGGAATACTAGCGAGATCATTTTCCCGAGGCTGTTTCATTCTTGTAAGCAGATATTTATGTGTTTATGCTATATATGTCACAAGCAACTGACAAACTATTTAAAAGAAATTAACACTAGCTGTGGAATGTACAACAAAAGGGATTACTGAAGTGCAGCTTTTCCTTCAAGTTTGATCGCCTGGATAAATATGACTGAAAAAGTTTCTTTTCTCCTCTGCTAGAGCTTGTGTTCTTTTAGCTTCAGTTCTAGAAAACCTTGTTTCTGGGACTTGCTGCCTTCTGATTGGTGGCAATGATAGCAGGAACTTGACTTTCACTTGTGTGCCTTACTTTCTTCTTGCAGCCAGGTTTACATGGCTAGAGAAATAAAGACTGGTGAAATTGTTGCTTTGAAGAAAATAAGAATGGACAATGAGAGAGAAGGGGTACATATTTTTGTTGTACATATTTATTTATATAGATAGATCCATTGGTATTTTGTGCTTTTGAACACATGATTTTGGAAGACAATGCTGTTGGTTGATCGCCTATAGCTTCTTATGGATTTTGTAATTTCTACCAACAATCGTAGATTTTCTCGGGGCTAATAGAATGGATCATTTATTGAGTTACGCAATGTGTCAAGAAAAAATGTTTTATTAAACAATTCTTGTATTTTTGCAGTTTCCTATAACGGCAATACGAGAAATCAAAATTCTAAAGAAGCTACATCATGAAAATGTGATTAAGCTGAAAGAGATAGTGACATCTCAAGGTAATCTTTTAAACCATCTTATTTACTTGTGCTGTATTCTTTATGCACCTAGAACTGTAGTGTTGATATGTTTCCTTCAGATATCTCAAGTTGTGTGGCTGTTTTGCAGGCCCTGAGAAAGATGATCAAGGGAAGCAAGGCAAGTTCTCTACTTTGCTATGCAATGCCTATCAATGGGTTTCTCTGTTTATTTTGTGTAAGGTTATCTTATTTGAGGCCAGGGGCAGTTGATTTCTGATGACTGTTTTATGTGGCTTACAGATGATAACAAGTATAAAGGTGGGATTTACATGGTTTTTGAATACATGGACCATGATTTGACAGGTCTTGCTGATCGTCCTGGGATTAGATTTTCAGTTCCACAAATTAAGGTATTACTAATGGAACCTTCTGAATTTCTGTTTTTCTTATCAATAAGAATGTAATGCGTGGCAGTTCTTTGTCTTCTTGTTTCTCCTTTTCTCTCTAACTCTTGCTTCTTTCTCTTGCAGTGCTACATGAGGCAGCTTCTGACAGGGCTTCACTATTGTCACATAAATCAAGTGCTTCATCGAGATATTAAAGGTTGTTATTAAAGCTAGCCAACTTACTTTTGGATCTTGTTTTTCACCTCTTGAGGCCTGAAATAGCTGAACCTTGTCTTTACTGTAGGCTCTAATCTTCTGATAGACAATGAGGGTAATCTGAAGCTTGCTGATTTTGGGCTTGCCCGATCATTCTCAAACGAGCACCAATCAAATCTTACGAATCGTGTTATTACTTTATGGTACAGGTAAATAATCATATATCACCTTGAATGTAGAACCTGATTGGTCAATGAAATTTCTTTGTTGTAAGGAACATAACCTTTCTTTCCTGCAAAAATTTAAGTGCTAGATGAATGAGGAAAGTAAAATAAGAATGAACACCTGCTAGCTCTCCTTTTTGAGCAGGCCTCCGGAGTTGCTGCTTGGGTCAACAAAGTATGGTCCAGCTGTTGATATGTGGTCTGTTGGTTGTATCTTTGCTGAACTTCTGCATGGAAAGCCAATTTTCCCTGGGAAAGATGAGGTAAATCATCTGTTGCTTAACCCAGGAATGTACTATTACTGATGCTATATCATAATTGTTGTATCATTATAGATTATGTATGATAGGGTGGTGCCTGCTTTAGACTTTTCTTGGGGCATTTCTATTGTTTAATTAGTATCCAGAAATAATAATCTATTGAAAAGTGTACATATTTGCAGCTTATATTCAATTGATCATCATATCTAAAGGTGTAGTTATCATACCAATGTCACGATTATCTATTGTTGACTGCTGTAGCCTGAACAACTAAATAAGATTTTCGAGCTGTGTGGAGCTCCAGATGAGTCTAACTGGCCTGGGGTTTCAAAGATTCCTTGGTACAACAATTTCAAGCCAACAAGGCCAATGAAGAGACGTCTCAGAGAGGTTTTTAGACAGTAAGCAACATAACTTGTTTGAATCTATCCTATACTTATCCATGTTTCAAAAATTTGACACTGGTGTTGCGTTGTTATTATTATTATTATTGTTATTATTATTTTGTTACATAGGACTCACCCCTGAGTCCTAGGGGAAGGGGATTGCACAAACAACTGGGACCAGCCATGTTGTGTGTAGGTTTCAGGCTAATCAAAGTGCATATCTATTAATTTGTGTTTTTGCCATAGTTTTGACCGCCATGCCTTGGAGTTGCTGGAGAGAATGCTGGCTCTTGATCCTTTACAGGTATCCTTTTATTAGATATCTCTGATTGATTACCTTGATTTGATGCGTAAAACGCCTTTTGTGTCCTACCATTGGTTCGGTGTTTGAAATTTTGGTTATGTGAATACTAATTTATTTAATTAACTGAATTGATTTGATCATGCAAAGGTCAGTATGGAATATTAGCCATTTGAAATGATTTAACTAGAATGGGAAAGTGGGTAGATGGATTGGATTTCAATGTTTTAGAGGAGCTTAGTTTTCAAAATTATTTCATTTAGTAAAATGCAGGGACTTCTGTATGATTCCTTTAAATGATCAAGGCTTATTTGTTTTCGTATCTCATTTACTAAATGCAGGGACTTCTTTACGATTCTCTTAAATGATCAAAATATTTTTTTTACCATCTGATATAGCCAATATATTTCTAATTCAAAAGAGATGCCAAGAATTTTGAAAAATTAGTAACTAATAAATAAATAAACAAGCAAGCAAAACAGAGACATATATACAAGCATATATGTCTTTGCACTTTTGCAAAATTGATTTTCCACATCTATTTGCAGCAATTAATTTTGTTCTTTTATACTGTTTAGCATCATCATTTTACGATGTTACTGTTAAACAGAGAATTTCGGCCAAGGATGCACTTGATGCTGAGTATTTCTGGACTGACCCACCACCATGTGACCCTAAGAGGTTTGGTTTTTTTTCTGTAGTAAATGTTTCCGGACTGTGTTACTTGGTATATTTTATGGATCCATTTTCTTTTCTTGGTTCAGTTTACCCAAATATGAATCATCACATGAGTTTCAGACAAAGAAAAAGCGCCAGCAACAAAGACAGCATGAAGAAAATGCCAAACGTCAAAAACTACAGCATCCACAGCCACATTCCCGCCTTCCACCCATTCAGCAGTCTGGGCCACGTCCCCAAATGCGGACAGGGCCCAATCAGCCCATGCATAGTTCTCAGCCCCCAGTTGGAGGTCCTGGCCATTACGGGAGGCCTCGTGGACCTGCTGGTGGTCCAGGTAGATACCCTCAAAGTGGAACGAGTGGGGGATACAACCACCCGAGTCATGGTGGTCAAGGTGGAGGAGGTTATGGTAGTGGTCCATATCCTCCACAAGGACGAGCCCCACCATATCCCTCTGGTGGCATGCCTGGTGGTGCTCCACGTGGTGGTGCGGGTAGTGGATATGGAGTTGGTGGTCCAAATTATCCTCAAGGTGGTCCATATGGTGGTTCTGGTGCTGGGCGTGGCTCAAACATGATGGGAGGAAACCGCAACCAGCAATATGGTTGGCAGCAGTAACGTAAGGTATTTCTTTCGAAGAGTTGTGGGGAATTGCTGGCAATAGGAAGAATTTGAATGAATTTGCAGAGCAACCAGGAGATGGAACTCGGGCCGAAAGAATTAGCAATGGAAGCAAGTAATCAATCATTATGCACTGTAGTAGTTATGCATAAATGAGACTACATACTGATGTCCCTTGCAAGTCTTAGAATGCCTGCAAATATATTTGAAATCTGAACCTTCTGTTCTATCTTTACAATGTGCACAAACAATATGTAGGAATCAACAGAAGTGTAGTAGCACTATCAAGCTTATTAGGGTAGACGATGCAGAGTCTTAAATGTAATCTAACGAGGAGTGTTCCTCATTTTGGTAGGACAGATTCCTGTATTTATAGCTCCTTATTGCGGTGGTTTGGCTGGAAAGGAGTTTTGTCTAGTCTTTTATGCACTTGATATGCAATATTTTAGTTCAAGAATGAGTTATTTTGATGATAATTTGCAGTCTCTGAAGCAGTTTCTAAACTCATAATCAAATTAATAAGATTCAACTCTTCTTGTCAGAAATGAAAATCATCACCAAGAAAATTTATTAAGACAGTTCAAAAATTGGAATTACCAGTAGGGCAAAGCCTTTAAAATTTTGACACTGGTGTTGCGTTATTATTATTATTATTGTTATTATTATTGTTTTGGTACATAGGACTCGCCCCTGGCCCTGAGTCCTAGGGGAAGGGGAATACACAAACGACACAACTGGCCAACTGGGACCAGCCATGGTGTGTGTTGGCTTCAGGCTGATAAAAGTGCATCCATGATATCTATTTATTTGTGTTTTTGACCTCCATGCCTTGGAGTTGCTGGAGAGAATGGTGGCTCTTGATCCTGCACAGCTATTCTTTTATTAGATATATCTGATAGATTACCTTGATTTGAAGCATAAAACGTCTTTTGTGTCCTACTACTATTGGTTTTGTGTTTGAGATTTTGGTTATGTGAATAATAATTTATTTAATTAACTGAATTGATTTGATCATGCAAACTTCAGTATGGAATATTAACCATTTGAAAAGATTTAACTAGAATGGAGTATATGGTTGGCTAATGAAACTTCTACATTTGCCAGATAACAATTAATTAAAAAAATGAAAAAAAAAACATTTTCATACATCTAATTCTTAAAAGATTTTTATTTTATTAATTTCAAATTAATAGCAGTAGTAGAAGCTACTACTATTATTATTCAAAACAAATTCAATACAAAGATAGTAATATAATTAGATTTAAAACATCTGAAGTTCTACAGTTGAAGCTACTACTACTACTATAATCAAAGATAGCCACCTAATTTAATGAAAAAGCGCCCATTGATCTCAATTATTTTTTTCTTTGGTTTATGCTCACAATCCATATTAATACAATGTTACAAAGAATTGGCGTTTGAAAAAAATTGCCACAATAGTCACTATAGAAATTATTTTTCTGATGCTTGGCTTTACAATGATCATGAACACATTGAGCAGTATCAAATTTAGTTTTTGGTCCACAATCCGAATGAATACAAAAAAAAATTTCACACAAAAAGCTACTTCCATTTTATACTAATTACAGCTCACTTTTTCTATTCTTCTATTGCACTTTCACTTTGTGATTGTGGTATAAAAAAATCATATTGATAAGCACATTTCAAGAAAAATGAATCTTGTAGCTACTTAATTATATTGTATTATATTCTTGAGCTTCTTACCTGATAGATTATTTGTTATTTTGCCTCTTTATATGTCTTAAGGATTCATAAGTTAATATACAAGAGGTCGCGGGTTTAACTCCTAAATAGTTCTGCTAAGATCTTACACTTTGGGCGTGTGTGTATGTCGAGTGTGTGAGTTTATTTAAAAAAAAAAACCTTAATAACTTCCAAAATTATAAAATTTGCTTTATTGTAGGCAGCCAAATGGTAAATAAATTACAAATAAATAGCAAATACATTCATGAAGTTACGAAAATTAAAATAAAAGACATGGACAAACATAAGTATAAATCCTAAGAATTCCATATTAAAATATTAAAAAATACTGGAATTAAAAATTGTATTATTATTCATAGATAGCCATCTAATTTAATAAAAAAACACCTATCGATCTCAATTATTTTTTCTTTGGTTTATGCTCACAATCCATGTTAATATGTTGTTCCAAAGCATTGGTGTTTGAAAAAGAATTGCCACAATAGTCACAGTAGAAATTATTTTTCTAATGCTTGGCTTTACAATGATCACGAACACATTAAGCAGTATCAAACTTAGTTTTTGGTCTTTTAGTTAACTTTCAGTTTGTGATTATTCTTCTCTTGCACTTTCACTCTGTGATTGTGGTATAAAAAAATCATATTCATAAGCACATTTCATGCGAAATGAATCTTGTGTTATATTCATGAGCTACTTAATTACATTGTATTATATTCATGAGCTTCTTATCTCATAGATTATTTATTATTTTTCCTCTTTATATGTCTCAAGGATTCATAAGTTAATATACAAAGGTCACGGGTCTAACTCCTAACTAGTTATGCTAAGATCTTACACTTTGGGTGTGTGTGTGTCGAGTGTGGGAGTTTACTTTTTTAAAAAAACCTTAATAACTTCCACAATTGTAAAATTTGCTTTGTTGTAGGCGATCGAATGGTAAATAAATTAAAATTAACGAAAAATAGATTCATAAAGTTATGAAAATTAAAATAGAAGACATGGACAAACATATGTATAAATCCTAAATATTCCAAATTAAAATATTAAAAAGTACTGGAATTAAAAATCGTATTATAAATGTCTATCGCTAATTTGAATTTCAAATAAGCGCCGAATTCTCCGAAAACCGAATTCTCCGGAAAGTTTGAGAAATCCACTCAAATAGCAACAAATTCATATTTTTTCATTAATTCATCGCTAATTACTAATGGATACGGACTAAGATATCCATCGCTAATTTGAATTTCAAATGCATAGACGGTTAAGTCTCTTCAAATTCCACAACTTGTTTTCAAATTAACGATGAAATCAATCCGTCGCTATTTAGCGACGAACCATGACGGTTAGCAATGGATAGTTGGCGTTTCTTAGGCCACCATGAAAATAGTTACGACTTGTTGTTTGTCATTAAATTAACGACGTCAATCCGTCGCTAAATTTTTCTTGCTATTCCATCGCCAATGAGTCGCTAAATTTACCTTCTCTTCATTTCTCATTAATTCATTGTTAATTAGTAACTATTTAGAGACGAGAATGTAATCCGTTGCTAATTATCCATTTTCTCATAGTGAAACTAATCGGAATCAATAACTTAATGTTTGAATGTGAGTTATGCAACATAAATAACCTTCATAACTTTGAGAACTATTTGAATTGTGTTGGTTTATGCTCAAAATCAATGTTAACATGTTGTTCTAAGGAATTTTTGTTCTTTAATGCGTTTTCGTAATGATCACACAAGAATTTATACTTATCGTGTTTGAATTTGAAGTGTAAGAGAAGATCACTAAAATTTTTATACTTAGAACTTCCTGTGCATTGGGAATGCATACAAATAAAGTTTTTCTCATTAGTAGTTTCATCCATCTTTGTATGGTTCTTGCTCACTTAGCTTATTTTTCTTGTTTGGTCTCCTTATGTATTTGTGATAACAAACCTTATATTTATAAGCAGATTTCACATCTACATTCACTAAATTTCATTTGTATATCTTACATGATAAAACTATCTTTTTTTTTCTTCTAAATTCATGCTTCAATAATGTTATTTTTGGTTTCTTAATATTTTTAGGATGTTTAACAATAAAGCTATAATTATGTTTCCATTTCAATCCCTATTTTTAAGAACCTTTACATTTCGATTCTCATACGTAATTATGTTATGATAATTTCTCTTTAATATTATACTCATTTTTTAACCCAACAAGCATTTTTAGGTTGTTTATCCCCATTTTTTTTGTAATTTTTTTTATATTTTGTATCAAACTCCTATTATCAATATTTTTTTTTAATTTCTTAGTTAATTATTTTTTTTGAAATAAAATGACATGAACTAAAATAAATAAAATAAATAAATAAAAATAAATAAAATGGAAACTTTTGAGGTATGAGTTGTGTGACACTATAGATTTGCAAAGGCAAACAAATATTTTACCTAACTTTATGATTTTTTAATTAAAATTTTATATTTAATTAATTCTTTCTCATATATTTTTTATTTTTTTTAAACATGATTTATTTTTTTCTCGTGCTTGAATTTTTAAATAAAAATTATAATTTTCTAAAAAATTATTTTTCCGTAACTAATATGCTCTCTCCTTTTTTCTCGTTTGGTTCGTTGCCATTTATACCTATGGAATTGTTGGTTTTTCACTATAGATATGCAAAGGCAAAAAAATTTTAGGGTATGACACTATTTTTAAGAGCCTTTACATTTCGGTTATCATACGTAATTATGTTACGAGTCTAGCTAACACCAAGAGTAGCATTACTCTTGCTACTACTTGCCAAAACCCCTATAATTGCTATTCGTTGTTGTTAGAAATCTTAGGAATGGTAAGTAATAAATTAAGTGTGCTATGAAGGAAATTTGAAAGTATTTTTAATTTTTCGTTATAGTTAGTTAGTTAGTTATTAATAGTTTTCAAACAAACATAACGAGTTGACTCTAACGGTTATGTCCGTTAGAATTCAATAGTTATGATCTGTTAGCTTGTGATCGTTAGAATTTAACGATTATGTCCGTTAGAATTCAATAGTTACGATCGTTGGATTGTGATCGTTAGAATCGAACGATTATGACTCGTTAGAATCAACGATCACGTATGTTATGAAAAGGTGTGACTAATCTATAAATAAGGGACCACCTGCATAGGATAAAATTCATTAATTTTTTTCTCTACAATCCTCTTTTCCTCTCAAAATTCTTCTTTTTTTTTTTTTTTCTAAAACTCTAAAACTTTAAGAGATATTCTTTTGAAAGAATTTTGAGAG